GCCGCCGCTGCTGCTCTACACCGACGACACCGTCTACTAGTTCCACGACGACTGAACTCAAACATGAACAAACTGACTTCTAGATCCACGTCGACTGAACTAAAACCAGCGAACACCATCTTAGAGTTCCAAGTCGACTGAACTAGGACCCCAAAATAACGTGTTTCAGTTTCACGTCGAATTACCGCTCACTGATAATAACCTGCTACACGGGGAACTCGGGGTGTTCGAATGTGATGGACATAGAACTTTATATGAAAGATGTATCAATACGCTTTGGAAAAAATCGCCAATATTTTAAATATAATTAAATAAAATTAATGTGCATAAAATTGAAGCTCCAATGTAGAGACGTAGTTTCTAAATTAAGTATATCAGTCATATTTTCAAAATTATCCCTATAGCTGGAATTTAAAATTAAATAATTTCTGTTATCATTCAGACAGTGACATCATTATTTGATTACCATCGTATGTGTAGTGAAGGTGTTCAGTGAAGTAAAATATTACCGTATTTTGTGTGACCGTGTTTAATTTGTGGCCTCGCGCTCCGCCTCTGTGCTCGGTGTCCAACAATGTTGTCGAGACTTCATGTAAGTATTTTATATCTTCATGTTTATTTTAATCTTATTTTGTTTGAACATTTGTATGTTATTGTAATTTATAGCTTGTTCTATTTTACATGTTTATTTTCAGCTTATTTTATTTATATCATACATATTATTGCCAACAATACAATTAATCAATACCCATTGCTGTCATAAGTTTTTATACAATAAATATTTTCAACAATTTTTACTTAAAATGTATAAAAATCAAAATATGTCTCTTCTTTATTGATGACAAACAATTCAAAGAAAGACCATCAACAAGTTTACTTATCATTTTTGCTTTAATAATTGATTTATTGCATATATTAGCAGAACAATTTTTATTGTATTTAGCAATCATTTTTGTTATATTTATTTGTAGATAATACCATTTATAGCATGTGTTATGTATATATGTAGACATGGAAATCCATAATCAACTGTTTTCAATGTGTTTCCTTCAGATATTAAAACCATGACTATGACATTAGTATATTTCGATATATATGTAAAAGTTTATTTAACTCACCTTAATATATTGTTTTAACGAGCAGTTATCTAGAATTTAAAGAAATCTTTTAATGTAATAGTCAAAAGGAAAACACCAGTATGTTCATGTTACTTGTAAACTAAGGTTATTATATAAAAAAATGGCAAAAGCAATACAAAATTTTAGGTTTAAGAATGGTCAGAAATTAGAATCAAAAAAACTCCATTCAATATCCGTCCTATATGAAGTACGTAATAATTGTCAGTAAAATATTAGCATTCTTGATAGCAGCTCGTTAATTTTTGCTTAGTTACTTGAATCTCTTAGAAAACTCCTTCCATCCCATTGATACTCTCTTACTAGTGTTAGCATCTGTTATTACAACAAACTAATATACATTAACATGGGTAAAAACTTACAACAACATTTTATTTGAATTTTGTAGTGTGATAAACATATTTATTTACGTTTTAAAGAACTGTTTTATACTTTCTAAATATTATTTTTAATTTTTTAAAGCAACTTAAAAAAGGAGGAAGTTCTAAATTCGATTTTTGGTTTGATGCAGAATTTTGCTTATTTGGTCCCATATTTTTTTACATAAATAATAACTGTCCAGGCATTCAACAGTTATTTTTCACAACAATTTGTGAAAGTGATAAAAAAAAAAACAATTTTGTTCTATCATTTGGACAAATTAAAAATTGATCATATTTTTCTAAATCATACAACCATAATCTTCCCTTTACTATAAACAATATGTATAAAATAAATAAATTAACAAAATCTTGAAATTAGGTGTCATTAGATTTATTACATGAGGCTAGCCTTTCTTTAGATTAATTTGTTCAGATATAATTAAAAAAATATACATTCATTATTTTGTTTTCAACTTTGTTTATCTTGATACCCAACTGTTAAATTATTTTAGATAGGCATTGTAATAAAGCATCGCTTATTATCTCTAAGTAGATAGATAATAGATTTGACATTTGGTGCTAATAAATAGAAAGGTGACCTTGCATTAACAGACACTATAACCTAATGTATGGATAATGCAAGGACCCTTTAAGTTAAAATCAATTGGAGATCATTGTACATTGTCGTGTTTCACAAATCCTTTCTTAATATAATTATGTAAAATATCTTAATATCTAGATTGTAATATTACCTGTAAATTATTTCTGTTCAATCAGTTGTAATTATAAAATTATCGCAATATTTAGTCAATTATAATTGTTAATGTTTAGTTTTTCGTGTGTAATTAAGATCTTATAGGCATTTATCTTTATAGGGTAAAGCGAATTCGTATGCCGAGAAATGAGGCGTTTTTAGCCATGTTTCTTTTGATATGATTTTTCCCGCCTTTATATCCAAACAACACATTTAATTTCGTCACATTAATTATAACTTTGTGCGATTGTAAATTATGTATATTATAATGTGATCTGATAAAATAAGAAGTCGTTTTAGTCGATTGTAAAGAAGCTAGAAGTGTAATGAATCGATTTATTGATTTGCAATATGGTAACACCAATTAAATGTTTAAAATTAAAGTCCTTGTAAATGTGAGATAAGTGTAGTGTAAGTTATTGTAATCGGGTGCTGATTGTTGTTTTCTTAACTGCATGTGTTCTGGCACTTCGCGTACTTATATTATCTGTTACATATCACAGTTGCGCCAGATTCAAACAATTCTTGTAAATAAATCGATGTCGTTAGTCGTTCGTAATTTCCGTAATTTCTGTAACCTTTTCGTCTGTTTAGTCGATTGCGTTTGAAAAAGTATTTTGTAGCATTTGTTTATAACATGCGTTAGGTAGTGCCTTAATTTTATCCAAATATATTTTGTAATCTGTATCAAGTATTCATAACTCATTTAATCGTGTCATATAAAGTGTTCGCCGCGAGCGGGCGCGAGTGTCTGTATATTGTGATATAATTTGTTAAGCCTTTTTTTCTTTTGTTGCTCAAAATTTTTTTTTCACTTTTGGATCTCTGTACTTATCATTGATGAAATTTGTAAGACTGTATTTAATTTTGTTATGTAAATTTGTTAATTCCAGGTAAAATATATAGTTATTTTGAGAATGATGGTCGTTTTATTTGATGTTTAAAATGAAACACAGCGATTTAGATAAAATAAATAATTTATTCAATATAGTTCGAATACATGCTTGAGGCGCGGTGCGCGACGCGACCAGAGCTCGGGCCGCGGTGACTAGACTGTACACTCAACTCTTATGTTATACATAAATTATATTTCTGTACAAACAGAATATCAACACTTACAATAGCTACTTAATGTAAATTGTATATAACTAATACTCGAGTATTAGAATTAATAAAATCCACCGAAATTACACACCGTTAGGGCGAAGTTAGCGCCCCCTACATTAATTGTTAGTCTTTGTTTCGTTACAAGTCGATAAAATATCTAAATACGTAGCGCCATCTAATCTTTTGGTACATTAAATCAGTTATGTAGAATAAAAAAGATCATTGAAAGAATCGATTTAACATTTTTTTTAATTTTTTGTCTGTGATAGGTTTTTTGATATGGCAATACCACAGATTAACTGATTTCTAGACGTTGCTTAGAGGTCTGTGTCGCCGAGCACATTGTACATGAGCCTCTTGAATGAGTTCGACTGCTGGATTTGCTCCTCGTGTAAAGAGTTCACCTGCAACAAGAAATAGAGAAATAAATGATACATTGATTATATACAAGACGACTCTCTATTGATGTGTTTCTGGCGCTTTCTTTTTTTGCTGTTTTGTGTTTGTATAGACAATATCTGATAGAAAAAAAAATTAGAACTAGCTAGATAGGTAACAAAATTAATCGAAGGTGATAATTATTTAAATTGGGATAACTTACGAAGGTCGTTTTTGTTTTCGAGATCGCCTCAGTTTGCTTGGCTGCTTTCGGAGCGGGCGTCGGCCTCTGTTCAACAAATACTGATGTATTACAAGTAATATACATGTAACATGCGATTTTATTGCATTCAACCAAAAATGTGTGTATCTTTCAGGTTATAATTACGACCAGTATCGGCAGTAGGTAACGCTGTATTTTCCTCTAGTTAAAAAATAACCCTGTAGATTTCTTTGTAGCGTTTTATTAATATTATGGGAAATGTAGTAGACGTAGTAGTATTGAAATCTCAATTATTTTTATCAGTCTTTATCTGCCCACTGTTACATAGGGCATCCTCAATACCTTCCACAAAAATCATATAAAAAAATACAATTTAACTCGCGGACAGATTTAAGGAATAGTGTTTTACTGTCGATCTGACGTAATAATTGTAAGAATTTATGGTAGCTAAGTTACTTGTATGCGTATGTGTAGGCACAGACCTTGTGTTGTGGCGCAGTGAAGGTCTTGGCGGGCGGCGGCGCGGGCTGCGCGGTGGCGGGCTCCGCTTCGTGCAGCGCGCGGTACGTGTCCGAGGCGGCGGGGTCGTACTGCAGCGTGGGCTTGTGGCTGCTCGACGCGCGCGGGTTAGCGTTTAGTCGGTTAGCGAGCGCGACCAATACAAACATAATAATTACACTCGACTGGCGCAACTGGTTAGTATACGCGTTAGATTAGGATAGGACGTTATATTAATCGTATAGAACTATTAACTAATTTTAATAACATTAACTACTACGTGAGAGTAATGAAGTGCTCGATGGATTTTGACACTTCTTGGCGACATGTCGACGTTGTCACCATGTTTTGCGAGATGCGGTCGCTTTCGAAGAAATAAAGATAGATAGCGATATAAATAAAATAAAAAAAGCATTAATGCGTCGTGAGAGATGGTCGTCGACTTTCTGTGTTTCTAGTAAAACACTTGCCTCTTGACAACGTGCGGCCGCCCGTAATGGCCGTTAGAGCTATGTGAGCAAAGAAATACTCCATTAATACACAAAACTAACAAATATATGAAGATATAAACCATTTTTCATTAATCAATTTTTAACACTCGTTTCATTAATCACAATAATCTAAATTATTTCAACTATGTTATTCACAATCTATCCATCTCAGTGCTATACTAAAACACATTTTATTAAGCATATTAGCTGTTTACATATTTTATGTACAATTTAAAATTTAAAATATCACTTTTACACAACTTACTAACTATTCAACTAAGAACTTCACCAAGTTTACGAGAATCGTATTCCAGAAAGTTCTATCTTACGTTTTGAACAAACCAAACAAAACGTATTCTAAATTGCTTATATATCCTGGGATTCGAACCTACAAGCAGTGCGCACCGACACAAGGTCACACAAGAGGTACAAATCGTCGCATATTTTGTACATCACTTGGCACATTTCCATGCTCTTGAAATCACTAAAATGAACTTCGTCCAACTGTTACGTAATATTTCATTTAAATTAATATTGAAACGTGAACTATGAGTTTTCTCTTAAAGTAAAAATCAATATAATTTTTGAAAGTTATTTTATTTTATAAAAATATAGACTAACTTACGGCAAGGGCGTTGTTTGTTGTCGGATCGAGTTGGCGATGTTTTGTTCCGAATATAGGTTGATGGGCGAATTGAATTGCTTGTGCACAAACTGTAAAGATAATTCATTATTTAGTATTTAAGCTTTGCAAACATTATATAACAAAATAACAAAAAAGGCATATTTAAGTGAAATTTAACACAAAAAATAAATAAACAAAAATCCAAATGTTCACAAAATAAAAGTTTTATAACGATAATGAACCATAGACATTAATACTATTCGGTATCGGTGATTTGGTATAAATATTACGTTATACCATGATATAAACGGTTTTCATAAAACTTATGACGCAATACAATGACTACTGAAGCTGCACAACAATGACTATAGACACGTGATAATGAAAAAATGGACTCAAAGATACGTTGCAATAGATAAATAATATGGCAATTTTTTTATATCAGGTGGCAAACCAGCAAGCGAACACGTGAATCCGCTAAAATGGCGAAGAGACTGCTGCCCATAGACATTCGTAATAGCGGATGCCTTAATCGACGGAATAAACGCAATTTCCCCTTTCTATGCATCTCTTCTAGCATCAAATCCACGTTTCTTTCCCACTATTTTCTTATTAGAAAAAGGGTGGGAAAGAAAAGGGACTTTGGGTCTATTATTATTTATTTATATAGCAGTCCGAAAAAAAGTCATAAACAGTAAATTAATGTTATTAACTGCTTATTAGATAGAATCTGGAATAACCATAAGCAGCACTAATTGCAACGTATCTTGTAAAAACAATCGGCTTCGTATGAGAAGTTTCGTGTGGGTAGTGTGATGACGTAATGTTAGTATACGTGAAGCGATGACGTCACACGTTAGAACCACCTTGTTGCCCTCCTCGCCCACCACCCGCTGCAGCACCGACTCCGCCACCTGAGTTTGTTGCACAAACAACCAAATGTCAACACTACTACCTCACTTTTAGACCATCTATACTCTATACTAATATTAAAAAGAGGAAAGATTTGTATTTTTGGATTTCTGTATGAATTGAAATAACTCAATAACTACTGGACTGATTTCAATTCTTTCACCACTAAAAAGCCATGTTATCAGTGAGTAACATAGGCTACATTTTTATTATTTTTTAATATGACGCAAAAGAAGCCGCGGGCAATAGCTAGTTTCAAAAATAGACTAATTGAATATAGATCTATTTTGATTTTTTTAATGCATTTGCCAATGTTATGTTTTATGCCAATCATGTGTTTATTGTATTGTGTATCACAAATTGTGAATATTTCGAATGTTGAATAATAAAAATACTCTTTTTCGTATCCAAATACCTTGACATTTGATTACAAAGGGCTGCTGTTTTGATGGTTGGATTAAAGTAATTAATTTTCAGCCAACTATCGGTGATCAGTAATGTTCAGTACATGCTTATTGGTACCTATATCTAAAAGCGTTTAGTATTCTAATGTACGCATTCTTGTTAAGTGTGAGATCTATATGTGTAAAAAGACGTGCAAATATTGCGGCAAATGCGTTTTACTGATATCTCTGTACAAATATTGAATGAGCGAGTGCAGTACACTAAGCAAAGTAACTGGTTTTGTACGCATTTTGAGACTACGATTGTATGTGTAAAACCCCGCCCCTTTCTCTTTAAGTCCCGCCTACTGAAGTATGTATGCAGAGTTTCGTGTAAATTTAATGTCAGTATACCTTTTGCTTCATGAGTGTGTCGCGGTAGTCGTGGTGCGGGGGCGCGCGCATGGCGGGGTTGGGGTGGTGCCGCAGATAGCTCTCCGTAGGGCCGGGCTCGCGCCGTACCTTCGCGCCCGGCAGCACGAGCGGCGTTGTGCGGTATGGCTGCAAATACACACAAATTAAGATATTAAAAGGATGATAGATATCACCGTCATACGGTTTTATAACGTCACGTTTAGCTAAGAACACATTAATATGGAAATAAGAATAGAGTGTAAAGAAATTCAGGTGAATGAAAACGTATGCGATATTTACAACATAATTCAGATGCGAATGTGTATTGAATTGAACGTATTACATATTGCTATAACAAAAAAAAAAACGTTTGTTTTCAAATAGAAAAGATATTACATAATTTTCTTTTGCAGTTTCTCGAAAAACTTTAATTTTAATGCCAGTAAAAAAATGATATTATTTTATATTTTAAGAAGTATTAAAGAATTGCATACAATTCCGCTACTTTATTAGCCTATTTAGTATTTATTATTTATATTGGAGACATTATAATCGGATAAAAATGTGTTGTTTATGGTATTGGAATCAAAAGTTTGTAATGTTACCTCTATGGAATGGTTATCTTTCTAGAAAGTTCTAGTTTTCTTCAGAAGTATAGACGCATAAATAACATTGATTGATGTAAGCAAGTCTATACGTTGCTAGCACTAGCAATATAGGTTCAATCATTCAAACAGCCGTCTCGGCCGCTCTATAAATAACGTCGAGGTTGGTTCATGTGGGTTATTATTGCTGGCACATTTTCGTTACATTTCAGAGATTACGCGATTTAATATGGGTCGCGGTCACTCATTAATAAATTGTGTCTAAATGTAAAATATAAATAATATTGAAATCTTACTTTTTATTATAAGATGGCAAACTAACAAACGGCCACCTGAATTCGCCAAAATGGCGAAGCGACCGCTGCCCATAGACATCCGTAATTGCAAATGCGTTTTAATCGACGGAGGAGGAGACACCCATAAACAGGATAATTCCCCTTCCTGTACGTCTCCTCCACCGTCTAATCCACTATTCCTTTCCATCTTTTCCTGTTAAGAAAGGGATGGAAAGGAGAAGGGACTAAAATCAGGCTTCCGACACCACACTCATCAGACGAAACGCGAAAATGCTCCCACTTCACGCTTGTTTTCTGTGTGGTCGTGGTATTGCACCGGACGAGCCGACCCATTCATGCGAAGATGTTAAAGCGGGCTCTACCCTGTTAAGTTACTAAGTATCTAACTGTATATTTACTACCAAAACAACTGGTACTTATTCGGCAGCAGAGCATTTGTGTTTAACATTTTTAGACAGAATTTTCAACTCTTAACCAAGTATAATTATTACTACAGTAACCTACAAAGTTCCCTCAAAACATCGCCTCACATCCTAGACTGTAACATTACTAAAAACAAAACATTAGTTTTCCGTTTAGTAATTTTCCGTCAAGAAGTGTGGCTAAGATTTTAGCGCTTTTCGGATAAGAATGGGTAATAAACATTTTATATAGTTTTGTATGTTCGTTGCATTAACGAGGCGACGACGCGGCGTAGCAAGGCCTACACGGACCATGTAATTGTGCCAGTGGCGCGGCTTTGACGTTTATTTCCGTCTTGTTTACAGAGACGCAACTTTAGTCACTGACGCAACGCTTCATTTCGCTTTATAAGCAATTTCCATTTTATTCGTAAACCTATATTGAAGATATTTGTCCTAAACATACAAAAAGATTGGCTTTCCTCGTCGGCTACATTTATATATATTTATACTGTAATAAAACTTTTGGTTATATAAATTCGTTACTTGAATTATTTAATTAATCATTTGAAGTTTTGCTCGATTTTATGTTAAAGAGTCAAAGTAAGTAAGACTTTTAAATAGAAAGTTGAACACCAGCTGTCCTTATAAAGCTGACCAGGTGTCTTTTAGAAGGACTTTAACTGCGAAGACTTGATCCATCGATGATTCCTAAAACAATGTAATAAAATAAAAGGCTCTTATATTTAAGTGATCGTAGTGACTTTATGGTAAACTCATTAGGAATTACCGACAAGATGTTAGATGTCTAACATGTAAGATGCATGCATGATTTGTCTGGCGCCAGGCCATGTTTAAAAATAATATATAATTTATTTTCGCATTACAAAACGTTTGAAAAGTATTTCTATATAATCTTAAGAAAGCCAATAAGCTTATAAAATTTTATTTTTGATTGTGTTTGTCAATTACTTGCGAAGATATATATGCGAAGATAAAAAATGAGTTGACAAGGTCAAGGTCTAAACCAATTTCGGAGAAAAGTTTCCAATGATCTTAATATCGCAACGTCATATGGAATGTATGAAGGCGACGTCCACGCAGCGACGACGTGACATTGACGCTAAAATAGCGCCCACCGCTGGGAATTTTATATTTCACTAGCTTATTCTCGCGACTTCCACTACATTGTTACTTAGAAAAGTTTTACTTAAAGTTTAATTTATACCATTTTAAACTACACCGTTAAAAATTAACTAAAACCGTCTTGAATTAAATTGCAACACTACTTTTAGCAAAATTTTGCAGGTTGCTTAGATTTTCGCTAAGAGGGTTTTTAGAATTTCATACTATTTTCGATAACAGTGATTTTAAAATATGACATCCATTTTCGTAACATAATCCGTTTTCAAGAGCTTCGTAGACGTTTTAACGATTTATTTTTTATTTTTATTTAATCTTTGAAATTTCTAACGTTAACGTCTATTTACAATTAAACAAAGTGCTATTTATCGTTTTACAATATCAATTTACAAAAATAAATTTATATGGTAAATTAAAATATCTGTTGATGTAAATTATAGAAGTTTCAAATAAAATGAGATATATGTAGATGACAAAGTAAAGTTAGAAAGTAGGTTATGTTTAGTGCGATTAAACAATAAGTTTATCTTGCGAACTTAACCGATAACTTTACTCAAACTTAGACCGTGCATATCACTCATTTGTTATTCAATACGCGAACTCTAAATGTTCTGTAATTAGATTTGGCGAATCTATTGATCACTTAACCACGTTAGTACGTTAATCACAAATCACAGTGAAGGTATATAGTAAGGGAGCGAACCCAGTTTGTGACCACTTCCTCCTCGGGATGCATGGGGTCCTGGTACCCGTTGGGGAAGAAATTGGGGTTAACAGCCATGTTATTGGCAATCGGTAGCGCGGTCGTTTCGAACTGAGCTCTATCGCGGACTGACTCCAGCCAACTCGCCAGTAAACACTACGATACCAAATCTATTTTGGAAATATGACGGGAGAGGCAGCCGGCGACGTGGGCGACAGCCTAGTTCAGCGTCGCAGCCTTGTCCCACACGAGGGGAGAATTTATTGAAATTTATTAATTCAACATTTGGCTGCCAGAAAAATTGTACATTTTACTAAATTAAATAGTGATGTTTACTAATATATGGTAATAAATAACTCGCACAAATTCTCAGACTACTTAATGCTTAGACATTATATGATAAACAGAAATAAATGCATCAGAATAACCTCGTTAAGGACACGTAAAAATAGTTTTATTCATTTTTAAGTGGTTTTTGGTCTTAGGAATATTATTTACGATACTTTCTCGTAAAGAACTTACGATAGAAATGATCCCATTAAGTATTTATTTTATGGCACTGACACTTTATTTCGTAGACTATGTATTTTCTGTTTCCATTAAGCTAAATGAAAACATTAATATTGTTAATTACACAATGTTTATTCGAATAAATGTTAATCAAAATGACGAAACGCTTCCGTTTAATTACGTTGGCAACTTTGAGGTAATTTTTTGGCAACCTTTTTGGCGAATCTGTGGATAAAATGCACCGGTATTGCGAGTCGATACGGCCGATATAAAACAGAGTCATAACGATATTTATTGCGTCGTATGAATCAGATGCAGAATTAGCAGCTGTAAGAATATTCTAGATTTATAATCGATTGGTTTAAAATTTTGATTGGGATATCTATATCTACTAATATTATAAAGAGGAAAGATTTGTATTTTTGTTTTTATTGAAATAACTCAAAAACTACAAGGCTGTTTAAAAATATTATTTCGCCATTATAAAGCAATGATTTCAGTTAATAACATAGGCTATACTGTTTATTATATTTTTATTCCACGCAGACGAAGTCGTGAGCAACAATAATTTACTAGACTACATATTATTATCTCTGTTTATCAAAATATAAAGAGAGGGATGAACTATGTGGTTTTAAGTGTTTCGTCAGTGGAAACGCACTCTTGAAAATTCTGTTTGTTATCTTTTCAATCATCAGCGTGAATTGATCTAATTAACAGAGCTAAAATAATAAAAAAAAGTTGCTGGCACTCTTCCAGTCTATAACCGTGAATCTATCTTTAAAAGTGGTTAACCCATTTCGTCTGACGCTTTACAAGCAAAATAATTTTATATAAATGCTTAAAGCCTATTTAAGTCTCCATTATTTAGTATATAACATTTTTTGAATTAGTTTTTTTGTTTTATAATAAGTTTTGCCCGCGACTCCGCCTGCGCGGTGTCATAAAAATACCTAATTAGTAGCCTCATTCTTCATATGTAAGTTAATCTATCTCTGTTCCGAATTTTATCGTGATGCGTTACCCGTAAACATCCATCCATCCAAACTCTTGCGCTTATATTAATAAGAAGTGAAAATTCTAATGTAGAATGCAAAATACAGAATTGTTTTACTACAATGATTAAATGTAAACTCAGAGAGTTATATCCGCTTTGGAAGTGATTTGTTTAGATTATTTTGGCAAGAGTACAGAATTAAATAAAGGCACGTAAGAAGCAAAGACCGGAAATATATAGCGCTGAGATAAAATAAATATTTACGTCAGCGTGTTTGGTAAATGTTTGTACGTGACGTTACGTATATACGCTATTTTACATGAATCATTTACATATTAAAATGTATTACATGCCATTTATATTTGCCTTGAAGACGTAGGATGTGAAACTTATTTTTGGTGCATGCCCTATAAATATTATGTTACTCAAATACTGACCTTTCCTTTTGCAATTTTCATTACAAACGAAAAGATGTCGCAGCATTGTTAAGACGCATGTCTTAATAGAATAATGTACACTCTAAAACACGTTTAAATAGATTTTTCAATTTTCAAAGAAAATACTTTAAAATAAAACTATGAATTTCAATGGAAATGAGAAATTGAAATTACACAAAAATGACTGACATTCATTCTACAAAGAGTCAGTGTTTAAATTTATAATTCAAACTAGTCTATCTTTAGTAAGTCTGTAATTAAAGCCTTATAAAGGTGAAATTGTTTAGAGAGGTCTATTAAAATTTCTATTACATTGAACATGACTATAATTTTATTCCTTTGTCATATTCCACATGGCTTTGTGGGATCTTTAGAAGATTTCGTGTGTTTTACTCTCACCTGGCTCTGTATAGACTCATCGACGACGTCATCGCCGCGAGCGGACGGCGTCAGCATCACGGAGCGGAACTCGCCCTCCTGTTGCAGAGGGAACTGTGCGTAGGGCGGCACCGGCGTGCTGCGCGGCAGGGACTCCGGCCCGCGCCATGCAGACGGCAACGGACTAGGTGTCCTATGTTGAACATTAAAATATACAAATCCTCAAATAGAGTATTACTTTAGGAACTTTATTTTTATTCGTATAAGAACACACAATGACAGCGGAAAAAGCTTTCAAACTGCACACCAGTACTAAAAAATTAAGGGCCTGTCCCACAACTGACTGATAGAGGCTCAGATAGCTTAAAAGCGACGTCACTGTAAGATAGAGTACCAAAATCAGATATTTCCATCACATATAGAATTTACAAGAATTGTAGAACAGGTCCTATAAGTCTTATAGATAATAGATGAATCAATAAATTGGTAACCAATCACAGTAACAACACTTACAGCGTCATTTCTTTTGATTGATTGTTGTATTTTTTTTTAGTTAACAATTTGATAATTTGTATCTTAACCTCTCAGGCAGGTTCAAAAAAGCCTATTGTTGTAAGTAGGTTTATCAACTACATAAGATTGGTTACGAATAATACTTATAGTATTACCTGAAGGGAGGTGCTGCGGCGTTGGCTATCGGCGAGCGCGGCGCTAGGGTCGCGTCGCGGGGCGCCTCGCGCTCCACATCCCTACACATGCTGCTAGCTCAGTGCACATTCTACATTACGTAACATTCATACAGACAACCAATACGTCACTACATTCCGCGAAATGAAAAGCACGCAATTATTTACCATCGTCGTTGACAGTAAATCCTTTTACAATTGTATTTAATGAACTGTAAAATTGTAAAAGAATAGTTAAACAGCTTAATGTATATTGGCCCTAGAATGCAACATGATGTTTGAGCCATCCTTTCACCAATTTATCATTAGAATTACAATGATTTATCTGAATAATAGTTAACTACTGTGGCGATAAGCCAAAGACCTTGTCAATGAAATCGAGGGAAAATCCTACGCATGTATTGATTGATCGATGAATGAGATTACCTACGTCTAAAAATGATCTAATACACTTTGTTTTCTTAAAAACAGGAACTAGAAAATTTAAAAATAAAACCGTTTACATCATTTCTAAATTTATGTTGTCAATGAAATGGAATTCTAATCATTTTTTTACTACTGATGTAAATTATTGGATCGTAATATTTAGCACTTAGTAAAGTGCCCCCAGTTTTGAAATTTATTCATTGCTTCACTTCATCATTTGCAAATAAATATACGATTGTTAAGTTATTACAATTTGTTCCTCACACCTGGATTAAAAATGATGGTTACGAAATTGTATATTTAATTTATTCTACGCAGGAAACATCTGTTAAATCTTGAAAGTGTTATTTTTAACTAAAAAACTCTTTAGTCAGAAGTCTGTCAATTAAGATACTTGCTTTTCTATGTACAATACATAATAACGATAATTTATATAGAAAATGGGCCCAAACTTTCCAAGCCCAATCGTTAAGTTCAACCTTAATTTTTAAATAGCTTTTTTGGTGTAATATTTCTAATTATTACATTAAGAATAGCAGATAACGCAATCATGCAGTCTATATTACTTTGTACGTGACAGAAGACAATTATTGCTATTTATGGTGCAAACAACATACATCATGCATTACATTTAATTCCAATTAAGACTTTGTTAGAGTATTATCTTGGGCTTTTACTTAATTTTACCCTTCACTAGACAACATTTATTCCTAATTTATGAATTATCTCATTCATGTTATTCAAAATCTCTCATGAGCTAAATAATTTTCTTGAATAATTTTTGCTAAATTCCTAACGATACAATAATTACATATAACATCGATGCAACATGCGACAACATCGATATCTTACTCGAATCGTTCGTAATAGAACGAAGGAGTGGGCGAGCGGCCTGAGAAACTGCTATAACGCGTCATTGGACACAAGTTTGTACTCTGCCTGCCTCTAAACATACGAACCACGAATTATACTTTAAAAGATCACAGATATATTACAGTCAAAGAATTAAAATAGCTACCCACTAAATTTAATATCGAACTAAAAACTGTCATCATAAGAGCTATGCTTCATATTCACGCGTTGTTGTTGTAGCGTTATACCGAATTGGGTAGGAAATAAACGTCCTCGACTGTACGTATGCGAAATTCAAGTGCCTCCTATTTTCTTGGATCACTCAGGAGAACAAATTGGAATGTATTAACGAATAGTACTATGAAGATGTTAAAGCACTGACGTAATTACCTCTGTACTACTAATTTAATCTGGTTGTTGGCGTTCTTGAAGAGGTTCTGCGCGTCTTCGTGGCGCAAGTCGCGTGCATCGTAGTCGTCGATTTTAGCAATGATGTCGCCTCGCGCTAGGTCCTTGCCGGCCGGCGTGCCTGGCGTCACCTGGAAAGTTACACATTATTAATTAATATAGTAGCCGATATTAATACTATAAAGAGATAATTAATATACAGTAACTACTAAACCTAGTGTAAGAATTATTAAAAAAAAAAACTGTTTTGGTAGCTATTACCTAACCTTTGTTATATTTAAGTTTTGATGAAATCGATTGAACTTACGACGACTTGTTAGTTTCTACCTAATATAATCTTAATATAAGCACTCAGAGAGACATAGTGGATTTTTATTACGTTTTAACTTGGAATTTTATTAAAATTGATAATTAAGCTATAGATAAATGACCACTTAAATTTAAACACTAGTATTTCGTACTATAAACAATCTCAAACAAATTTAATGCCTGACAAAAGATTCTTTTGGTGCGTGGCCAACATCTGCTAAGCAACCATTGTGTAAAATGTGACTTTTCGACAATTGCCGCTTTCTGTACTTTAGTATTCCGTATTAATTTTGTTGTTTTTATGGGGACCTGAGTAACAAGTCACGTTTTTACAAAATAGCTAACTTAAATAGGCAATAGGTAAATATTTTTGCAAGGTGTAACTTGTAATTCCCGCTTTTTATCTGTGATCGACGTAACACGCATTTTCCTTTAGATAAATATGACTTTGAGCAGCAATAAATTGCGGAATACCAGATGTACGAACATCAAAGACAAAGCCTAGTTTGCGCCGACAAAGCGAATTGAAAACTGGATTTATATTTTACTTTAATGTTTGCTTGTATTGCTAGAAATACTTCAGTTACGTTTACTAATACTGAAGTACTTCTTATGGAGTTTATTGATACAAAAGTGGCAAGGTGGCGTGACGTTTGCCTTCGTTTGTTTGGGTTAAAATCATTATTTCGGGTTTGCTGTTTTGTATACAAAAGCTACGTGTACTTTGTATTACCCACTTAACTTTTGCTTCACCTCTACATGTTTATATATTTTTATATTTATAATTTTCGTACAAATAAATGTTGTGTTCGAGAAAAAGAAAAAAATCATATCGTAACATTGAACTAGTTGTACCATTGAACTACAACTTGTGTACGGCATATGTCATTGTCACCTGTCTCACCTTCGTATCGAGACTCGACCATGACATACGTTTTTGAGCCAGGTTAAAGTCTTCTCATGCAATGTCTCATGCTTATTTAAGTTCTGTACAGTAGTACGTATATATTAAGAGTTAGTTGGTAATGACGAGTCGAGCAATCGTGTATAGTAGAGAGGGTAGATAACAGATATGTAATTAGCTAGGACGACCTTGCGCGTTAGCAAGGGGGAGGTTGGTCGTGTGCTATGCACCGAGTTTGGCGTACAGCCAGTCTAAATGCGGCCACCGGCTCTCCGTGCCAACCGTCGCTGACATTTTTATTGAAAACAACCGGCCGGCCGGACGAGGCCTGTCGAATCCACGCATCGATAGCCGCAAATCCATCACTCCGCCGACTCAATGGCGAGGACGTGAGCCTATATTTACAAGTGTCCAACGCAATACGTCTAGGTTAAAGCGGACCGGAATTTTTGTTAGCGTCATTTGGACAACCCTGGATTTCGCATAAAGTTGGTGATGAGTACCCACTGTGTCACCACTCCTCTGGCACACTTCCACGCTTATCTAATACTTACGCATATCATTAATGTAGTGTTACAATAATTTTAGTGGCAAAATAACCCACTGTTTGCGAGTATTTAGTGAAAATAGTTTCAGAAAGCTACTAGAGAAGATTGACTGAAATCTTAATTTCAGAAATAAACAAAATGATATAGAGGGTTCTACGATAATTGATTAACGTCAGATGAAGAAGTGTGACTATACTTAAAAATACAGGGTCCGTTTCAATTAAATCATAGTAGTGTTTAATCACAGCGATGGGATTTAATCTATGCTCTAAATCCATCAATGCAAGCACCGCGACAAACAAGGTCGATTAATGTAGCTATAGTTATTAATGAAATAAGAAATGAAACCAACAAGTCTTTAACGAATTATCTGACCTAACAGCTTATTTATTTCACGCCGTTTGATAATTTAGTTTCAAGCCACCACAAAAAAATTTATGGCAAATTGTATTCAACAGGTCTTTTAACATTCCGATAATTTGGCACTGTCGCAGTTTTTTCGTTAACTTTGTTTCATATGAAACTAACTGCCTCATTCTTTCTAAAAATATTAACAGTAATATGAATCTACTCATTTAGTTTTGGCATAGAAAATAATTTTTAACCTGTCAGTCTTTTAAGTGGGTCGCTGTTGTTTTAAGATCTATTATTACTGTTCGCTGGCGACATGGTTGATGAAAAGATACAGTGTCAAAAACTGTCTATCAAAGAAATACAAGCAATTAAACTGCTAAAACGCTACACCGTAGATCTTTCCCATTTTTTTATAACATAAGGTGGCAAATCAATCAACCCGCCTGAATCCGCCAAAATAGCGAAGTGACCGCTGCCCATAGACATTCTCGTTGCCTACCTTAAACTACGGAGAAGGAAACGCACATAAAGAGGATATTTGCCCTTTCTATACATCTACTCCACCATCTAATCCATGTTCCATCCATCCTATTCTTATGAGAAAAGGGACAGGAAAGAAGAGAGACTTAATAACACACGCATCTGTCGAAACGCGGAGTTGCTCCCACTACACGCCTGTCTTCTGTGTGGTCGTGGTATTGCACCGGGGAGCGGACCCATTCGTGCGAAGATGTTAAAGTTGGCTCTACCACTGTAGATTTTAACCAGAAGAACTACCACCAGAAGTAGTTTCGATCGATTGGATACATTTTAAAATCAAGTACCTAAAAACCATCGCTAATATCCCCTTGTAAAACAAAACAAAACAATTAGTGATTATCGTTATGGTAGGTTAATCATTCATTCATTATCGATTAGAATCTACTTTTCGATTTGTTTGTTTTTACAAAGCGCGAATCGAAATTGTTAGGCGAGTATGAAAACAAACTCGCTAACATCAATTGAGTCATCGATTTAGTCTACCGGAGAGTTTTATGGTAAAAGCAAAAACGGGCTCAAGGCTACAGTCTATGATCGTCAGATTTATTACCACTGAGGTCAGCGTGGAGTGCATCGAAAAAATAGATACATACCAGATGGCAGGCGTGTGTTGGTTACTCCTACGCATTGGTTAGAGCTTTCATTTATGACGCATATGAAATTAATATAAGAGTAGATAAGATAAATTCATGAATGCATGTTTGGTTACTAACGAATGTACAAACCTAACACCATACAGTCACATCGTCTGAGTGGACAACGTGTACTCCTCAAATATCGAAATGGTGTAAGCACGTGCGTCTCATTAAAGTCCGTCTTCAAAGCGGATCTATCAAAATCTAGGATGTTTTTTGTTGATAAGTTGTATTTTTTCATATCCATGGTATGTATGTTCGTATGTATGCTTCGCAACTCTTTGTGTACATTTTATGCAATTGTTTTACCACAAGGTTTCATGATCATTGCCCTTTTCCCTAATGGAAGGTCGGTACAGTATGTACCACTGTTCCATAAAGACGACATACTTATATCTGAATTCACTCTATTCTTAGGCAAATCCTCTTTTTACAAGTACAATTCTAAAATATCTAGCTCTAATTTAGGAGCAGCGATAATAAAACGACACTTCCTATTGTTTTGGTTCGTGACCTAGCAGCGACGCGACTGGGAGCCTAGCCGGCTTTCGTTATAAATAAACCAGAATTAACAACAACCGCGTGACACTTCTGGTTGACTCACTGGCTCTTCGGCATACCTTAGCATTTATGCTTACTATCTCTAAAATACGCAAAGAAAATGAAATTTGATGTAAAATAAAAATAAAAAACTGATACTACTTAACAAGATTATGTCAACTTTATTACTGTGTTCTGGTATTCGCGACTCTAGAAATAAAATAAAACATTCTTCACTTTCTAGAGCATCTCTACTAAAGACTAATGGACTGTCTTTGATCGAATTGTACGCAAAATTAACAGCAGTTAAAATAAAATAGGTCGATGTGAGATTTTGTCGCCAGCTGTCGAACGACTGTGACCGATTCTAGTCCCAAAATATGTTTTAGTCATATATTATTAGTGCTTTCAGCGATTTATCACTAATTAATTTTGAATGTTGCAAACGAAACTAAAATAAGTTAATAACATTTAGATAAATATAAGTAAGGAGGTCGAGACATTACCCAACAGTAACTTTTGTTGTCACGAAAATTCTATGCCGATATGTGTGAAAGTCAGTAAAAGTCCTGCCCTTTTATACGCTGCTGTCCGTATAAACAATAGGTTGTGTCCTGGAATGTCATCTACATAGTCCATGTTTCGCAGATGTAAAACATTAAAAAATCATTATCGCCATAGGACTTTCGTAGAACATATATCCTTTAATAACGAACATAACATTCCCTTAAACATAGAGCGGCCACCAGCGTACACCCCCGTGTAAACCTTGTTTAACACATTTAGGAGGACGCTTTTGAAGGATAATTTATTCGTAAGTCCATTGTAAATTCTTTAAAAGTATAATGTGTACGTCTGAATTTTTCATTGATTGTTTACGCCGGTTGTTATGTTGACGCAATCCGAGTGTCAATGGGAAGGGCGTACCCTGGTGACGATGAGCGGGGTGGCGAGGTCAGCGCCGCCCACCAGCCGTAGGCCCCAGTTGATGTCGCGATACTCCCGCCTCAGGGTCACCACGAACGTGTGCAATCTACCCATCGTGTAACCGTGTGCACTGCGCGACACGCGCGCCCTATGCGCGGACGATACCACCACTACGGCGAGACGCGACGTTATGCGCGCAAAATTAGCCTCACCCGAAATCCCAACACTCCCCCTTCCCCCGACCTAGCCTTGTAACCCTGCCTTCCTTCGCAATCGACCCAATTCCTACCATGGAAACTGCACGCCGATTAACATCCGAATTTCCAGCAGTATCCTGTCGTGCGCGCGCGCTGTATTCGTAAACGATCGAAATATAATTTACGTGATGCTCTATATTTATGTCGTTTATCATCGAGACGGGAGATGCCACAATATTGTAACAATAAATATGGTATGTGCGTAAGATAGTGCGTGAATAGTAGTCCTATTATGCATTGATGATACAGAAATAGAGCATTAATAATTAAATGTAAGGGCAGAGCGAAGTATTAGCCATTTGGCAGGCCGTGAAACGCGCGGGCGGGGACAGATGATATATCGCTCTGTATATGCAATTGTTAAAGACGATTAGAAGGCGAACATTCATTACTGAAGATTAGTATTATAATTAGAATATAAATACTTTCAGTTTCTTCGATGATGCTGCTGACAGATTTATTGAGGTCTAATTTCAAACCGGGTAACGACTCTTGCGACGTGTGACATTTTGCGGTGATAAAATAATGAAAAAGAACTTACTCTTCGTCTGGCAAAATTTCTTTTTTCATCGTCAGGGTCCGGCCTCTGATGCGGGACTCTCCAGAACGCTGGCCTCTGGTACATAGGCATGTTTAACTAGTCTTAAATCTTCAACTGCTGTGGAAAAAACATTTACGTTATTAATAAGATGAACATTCGGAATTTTAATGAAATTAATCATATGTTAAAAATCATTACACATTTACAATTTAGACTTGTTTAAAAAAACATAAGTAATTTCGGGAAACTGCATATTTATTTTCTCGAATAAAATGAGCATTATCCGCAATAAATACTATAAAATTTGGCAAACAGGCCGACGTTGATATCAATAGTGGAGCAAAAGTAATAAAAACATGTTTACAGCACTCAACAACCGTGTAGATCCATAGAAAATCTGGATGTGGGCGGTTGGCGAAAAGGTCCACGCAATAAATTATCATATGAGGGATGGTGTAATACAGAAGTGAGATAGTAAAATTGTTAAAGCGTAACTCACCAGAGGGCGTGCGTTGTGTCGCCGTCGACGTCGCCGCTGGTATTATCCGTAAGGAATAATTCCCGGCGAATATCGGCAGTGTCTATTTTTCGCGTCGGAGTATTCGAGCGAGACGTCGCTTCGACAGCGCTCGCTTTCGTGATTTACACGCGCGCCTTACACACGCTGTTTCTGGGCCGCACCGAAATTCGCAATAATTCCTTACCAACCGCCGACACCGCCAAAGCGGTTCATTGCTCCCGATATTTTGTTTGTCAGAGCGATTTTTTTATATTCACGACGACTTATATCGTGATTATTTATGTTTATCTTCTTAAACGGATCACGGTTTAATTCCAAAGAGATTATTGCTCTCCGAATTCAAGGAAAACACAAAATGTATAAAAGAAACATATGTTAAAGTATCAAAATATACTATAAGAATAAAAGAAATGTTTTTGACATTTATTAAAAGATTAATACTGGCCACAAACAATACATTATTTTCCTGTCTAGGGACAACCATACAAGTAAGAAGTGGTTTAAGAAAAAATTGGTTTCAAGAAAAAACACAATTTTAGTTGAATCTTTAAAAAAACTAAAATAAAAAACACACCATTTAATTTAGTTAGAAATTCCAAACATTAATTTATAAATTGCCTATAGTTGAATCTATGGATTTAAAAATATACAAAATAAAATTCGTCGAATAAAAAAAAAAGCAGTTGAGGTATTCATAATTAAAAATGTATATAACATTACAATTAAACAACAAGTAAAAAAGTTATATCCAAACAAAGCAGATCTTTAACAACTAAATGCAATTAAAAACATTAGAATAACACTCCGATAGCTGAGTTATTTACAATTTTTATATACTTAGCTAATAGATAAGCCTCATAAAGTGTTTTTAAGTATTTGCTATAATTACTATAAAAACGATAAATTACTTAGTAAGAAAGTCAACAAACTATAAAAACGGAAAATGTCATTTCTGAGAATAAGGGCCTATTCTTACCACTGGCTGATAGAGGCTCAGATAGCTTAAAAATGACGTCCCTGTCAGATAAGGGAACAAAATCCGATATTTCCATCACGTATTTTGCACGTTGGATTGCTATCAGACAATTTACAATTTAGTGGGACAGGCCCTAAATATTGTAATAAAGCAGAATACATTAATTCATTAGATGTTCTTGCTTGTTGCATGCAAAAAAACAAATAACTATTGAAAAAACCTCGGCATACATCCTTGCATTTCATTCTTATAACAATATTATTTCAAACAAATTACAAATATTTATATGACCATGCTAAATATATTCTAAATTTTGGTATATTTCCTTTAAGCTAACTAACACCTTAATCAACAAACAAAACTGCAGGAAAACGTTACAATTGTATTTAAATATCGTAACAAGTCAATAGTAACAAATATGATCTAGTGTCATAGCATTATAATCCTTAACCTTAAAGAAATAGAGCTTAAATGTAATGACCAGTAAGTGAGATAAATTAGGAATATCTTAATTAAAAAGTGCTTAAAAATCGAGTAAAGCAGGTTTGGTATCTCTTGCGCATTTAATTAATGAGTACATTAATTTAACGAATCCCGTGTCTTTGGGCTTCTCCAAGCCTCGGAGAAGTCTGTTCTTCATTACGGCTACGAATTCCCTGTTACTGAGTTGACCGTCCACTATAAATAAATAATATAAAATAAATAACACTGATAATAGTTTCTGTCTTCAAAAATAATGATGTATTTTTGTTAAAAAATAAATAGTGTTAAGAATAAAAACGTTACTTACTATAAACCCAAGGTAGGAAAGAAAGGATGAAAGATATGTCTGAACTCAGATATGGCCAAATGAGATGTAACAGTCTTCAACGATTTAAAGTAGAATTCAATAGATATGACTAATTTTATAACAGTGACAATTACACTCATTGTCTATGGATTTATGGATTTGAAATTTTAATGCGACTATATGTTTTACTCTGTTTTGCTGTCGCATGTCACTCCGTCGCTGAGTTAAAAAAAAAAAAACTTAATTAGTAGCAAATGTATTCTTTCAGATTATATCTACATCTTTGCTAAGTTTCAGCGAGATCAGTTGAGCCGTTTTGGAGATATGTAGTTATGTAGTAACAAACATCCATCTACACTTTCACATTAATACTATTACTAATAAGTAAGATAGTAAACAGTAAGAAGTAAAATAAAAAAAAATAATTTGAATTAGGGCTCCGTTATTTCTCTTTGTTTTTTCAAAATTAATTAGATATGACAAAATATGTTACATATGTAATAGTATATTTGTATAAAAAACAGTTAAAGCCTTACAAATAAACGAGGTATAAAATTAAACTTCGGAATAATTTTGCTTATACTCAGTTTATTCCTAAGTTTAACTTTATACCTCGTTTATTTGTAGGGCTGTTAGAGTGTGTTATAAAGGATTATATTAGAATAACTTACTGTTCTCATCAAATATGGTGAAGACGACGTTAATAACGTGCGGGTGCAGGTCGACGTGCGCGACGGTGCGCGCCACGTGCCGCAGCGTCGGCTGGTCGATGGACGCGCCCGCGATGTGGTAGAACGTCAACGCAGTGTCCACGTCATTGATGTTATTCAGTAAATGGAAGAACTTTAGGTAATCATCTTTAGTTATACCAACGCCGTGGTCGCGGAACCTGATACGCGAAAGATATTTCTAGTATTAATACCTAGGAAATTTAAAAACGGTGCAGCGGTTGCATTTTTCTGTGATCATAGATCAGAAATTGATACATTTTTGCTGAAATGATTTATTAATACAGGTATGATCGACATAAAATTCTTTTTCATTTGGTCATATATAACTTATAAGAATGACATTTTTTGTTTTCATATCGAATGTTTCATTTTTTAACAGTGCCTAGATTTCTTAACAATTTAATTGCTTGTCCTGTAAAGTCATGAAATTGCATTTATCATATTCTGAACTACGGCCACAGAATTTTTTGTAACTTACATTTTCTTGACCCGTTTAAGCATCCTCGCCTTCTTCTTAGCAGGATAACCGGCGTAAGCTAACAACAGCTCTGCGAAATCAGCCTCCGTAATACGACCGTTTTCATCTGAAATTTACAAGATAATCCTCAGTAAATACAAAAAAAAAATGGATAATTTGTAATTGCAGGGTATTTCAAAATCAAAGCTACAATAACAGTTTACATACCTGGCTGTTTTCTTTGGAATTCGAGAGACAAAATTTCTTTCTGCAATTGCTGTTGGAAGTCGAGGAACTTCTCTATGGTCAACTTCTCATTTAGCTTCGGACCGAAGAAGTATGTGGTCAGCGCTGAGTTGATACCCTAGAAATAGAAGCAAATAATTAAATGTCTGCGCATAAGTACTCCAATGGTGGAAGTTCGATTGTTTCCAAAATTGAAGAGTATGTAAAAGGGAAAAGAACTAATATTGAATCTCTGGCCTGTAAGTTCCTGACCTTGAAGGTGTTGCCAGTATTGGCGTGGTCGCGGTGCCGTGAGCCGATGCTGCTCTGCTGGCGGATGAGCGCAGCCACCTTCTCGAACTCCTCGCAGTCCACATCCCCGTCGCCGTTCAGGTCGAACATGCGGAACGCGATCTCGAAGTGACGACGCGATGCTATAATGAGACATAGACGTTTGTAACTACGATTGTTATTTACTTAGCGATATCTGATCTCTACTTTTTTCTAATGACTAAACGAGAGATATTAGATTTTTTTGTAAACTAAATAAATAACGTCGAACCTTTTCATCCCTATGATAAACAGATTATTAGATTGGTGGTTCATTTTAAACTAAAATCGCAATAAACAGTTGTCATGGTCCAAATTTGTAAATTCTTAATGTTCAAATTGTTAAAATTTTTCTATGAATACCTAGGAGATAGGTACTTCAGTCTCTGAATAAAATTTATGTTTAGTAAAATATTATAATCGTAATATAAGTATGTTAACGAGATTAACACAAGATATTTTTAGTTTTGTAATTAACATTAATTATTCAGGCATCCGTCTGGGAGTCTAGAACATGCGTAGCGAGATAGAAAATCATTAAGTTCGCTCATGCTCAGTCCGCACCATCTCAGAGATGCTGCGTGAAATTGCTCCTGCCAAAACAATACCCAATATCCTATCGCTTGCTTATAAACGCATAAATGCGTTTATAAACTTATTTAACACGTGTGTTACAAATTTCACCCCTTCCTTCCCACATGTTGCTTTATAATGTTATTTTCTATAAAACGTGTTCGAGCCAAAGTGAAGTCGAAAGTTTTCTATTGTTTGAGATGCGGCGCGAAAACAGCCGCCTTCTTGTTTTGGGCGACTCTCTACTTGATTGTAATGAGACTGACTGTGTTCAAGAGTGGAGAAAGCAAACAAGTGAAGGACTGGTCCATGATACCTGACAATTACACTAAGTGGCTGGTAAATTAAAATTATTTAATAATTGTTTTTAAAGCATTTGTTTACATTGTTGATTTACTATCAATGATTGCATAGCGGCTTTGTGTTAAGACTTTTAAGATCATATATTTAGTTTGCAATGTTTTTCAACGTGTAATGCTTGGAATGATGGTCGGAAAATAACTTTTCAGTCAATATTATGAATGTAGTTTTAATTTCGTCGTTTTTATCAAAAATGTATGTGACATTTAAATAATATTTTTATAGATACAAGGCCCAGTTTTAGGCGAGGATACTCCGGAGGATTTGGCAAACAATTTATTAGAACCCGACAATGTGACGGTTTCCGAATTAGAAACGCGAGCCGCCAAAGTCCAAGATGTCTGTCGCGATCGCACTCTCGACTCACAAACGATCAACAACAAAGAGTTCTTCGTGGACCACGCACATAACCTCGTGTGGTGCAATATTTTCAAAGCTGCAAGCTCTTCGTGGTTATACAATTTCAATATTTTAGGTAATTTCCCTAATTCAGTAACTGTTGAAAACATATATGTAGTCGTCGTCGTCGTCGTCACCAGCTCACTATACGTCCCCACCGAGGGGCTCGGAGCCTACCCTAGTATGGGGTGACTAGGCCATAGTCAACCACGCTGGCCAAGTGCGGGTTGGTCGACTTCACACATATCTTTGAATTTTTTCGCCGATATGTGCAGGTTGCATCACGATGTTTTCCTTCACCGTAAGAACGTCGGGTAAATTATGTACATATGAAAATTCGAAAAATCGAAAATCACATTGGTACACGTCGGGATTCGAACCCAAGACCTGTAGATTGCAAGTCAAGTGTTCAAACCACTGAGCCACCGACGCTCTTATATATGTAGGTCCGCAAGATATTAATTCAAATTGCTGCATTTTTATTTAGAACGTAATAATGATGATGCTTTATTATTTTTAGGTGGTTACGACAAAAAGTTTCTGGCACGAACGCGACACACGCCTCTGACGTTAGCACGGAGGAAATTCCCTCGGCCCAGTGAAGAGGAACTGAGAGATACCATCACTACACCCGGGGTTATATCTCTGTTAGTTGTACGAGAGCCATTCGTTAGACTGCTATCAGCTTACCGCGACAAATTGGAATACATCTCGCCTCCTTTTTATAGAAAACTAGCCAAAGCTATCGTAGCAGAACACAGAGAGGAAGCGATTAAAGTTTTAGGACCGATCAAGAGTTCTGGGCCTACATTTTACGAATTTGTAGCTTACTTAATAGCAAAGTATAAGGCACAAGGCCCTAAGATGGTCTACGACGAACACTGGGCGCCGTATTACCAATTCTGTTCGCCGTGTGCTGTCAATTTCACGGTAATAGCTAAAGTTGAGACTCTATCCAGAGACTCGGCGTACGTGATACAACAACTGGGGCTAGGTCAAGTCTTGGAAAAGAGGGTAAGAGATCGCAGAACGAGACTCCGAACTGTGATGAATAAATCACGAGATGGTAAGAATACTTCGGCCTTGCTTAGACATTATTTTGGACAATTAGACGAAAGTATGCTTAATGAGTTGTTACGTATATATGGTTTAGATTTCGAAATGTTTGGATATGAAACAAATGTTTATAAACGTTACGTAAGACACAGAAATATTTAAATTTTCGATATATAGTGCCAATACAAATGTTAAATAGAAAGTACTATATAGAATGTCCTTACTCTTTTTCTGGGAATTCATACAAGAGATAGAGAACGACTTTAGAAAGCCTAATAAATCCAACCGTAGATTTTTAAACAGGTAAATTTGAAAGGTAATTTTTCCAAATGTTTGCACATCACTGAATTTCTATATTATACCTTAAATACTTCTTCAATAAAATTGAAAGCACTTACTTGATAAAACTGTGAGTAGAAAAATGTAGTCACTGAAAGTGATCAGACCCGAAGAGCCGAGCTTGTAGAAAATCGAATCTTCGTCAAGATCTAGGTTAAGTCGTTGAGTGATACTCTTGAAAGTAAAAACAATTTAAATAATTAATATTTTATAAATGTATGATTATCAAATTCAATTTTAAAGCAGATTAGTTTTCTATTCACCTACTCGTTATTTCTATTCTATTCAGTAATTATTAGCTACTAAATATTTTTGTATAAACTATACTGTAACACTATTTTCAATTCCTAAATATGTTGTGATTTTATTTTCTATAATGTTAAAGACTACATGTGCTCAATTGTGTAGTTTTTTTAATAAGACGAAAAAAAACAGCTACCAAAAATAAATAAAGTGTGTCATGTACCTAATTTAGTCCTTTTCACCTAAAGAATTGCATTTAGCTATATTACATGCCATAGGATAAGCTAAGTGTATAATACATTTTATTGTGTCTACCTTCTTGAGTTAAATTAGATAATTTATTATTGTGAAATGAAATTATAAGGGTTTAGCAAATTGTAAATGTTAACTTTAAAAAAATAAAGAGTTAATAAAGAGAACAAAATTTGTTTATTTTATTCAATTAAAAAGGAAAAGACAGGAGACTTTATTGACCCATTTCATTCAATTTTAATTTTGATTCTTGCACATTACAGCATTTTTAATAACAAACAAACATTTGTACAAAAAGACTGCACATTTTTTAATTCTTGTAAAAAATAGAATTGATGTAATATTAACTGGTTAATTTTAATTAAATGTTTTAGATATGTATGTGTCAAAGTTGAGATACTGAACAAATGTCTACCAAGAATAAAGATAATAAAAAGGATAATTTATATTTAATTCCTTATTTTTAAAGATCATTGAAATGTTACCTTGCTAAACCCTTAAGAGTTAAACATAAAGAAATACTGGGCAAAAAATCTACAAAAGTTATGCAAAAAAATATTCTGCTTGAAATTCTAGCTTCTCTAAAAGTAGGAGTCTAAATAAATAGAGATTTATTAGCACTGGAAAGTAATTTATCTGTGCATTTACTAGAAGAATTTAATACAGTGTGAGCTGAAAAGGCGAAGAGAATATAGACAGGACAGTACCTCATCGATGTTCTGAAAAGACAAGAAAGTGGTGAGTGGTTAAAGACAGTGCCAGTGCGGTAGTACTCGAAATATAATAGGCCAGGTTTGAAGATTTCTATGTAAAGATTGACTACTATGTTCTTAAAGAAATGTAAGACTTTGCTGTTATTTACATATTGACATGCATTAGATATATATTTTAGAATGATGAAATCAAAATTAGTTGCTAAAAACTTAATAGAATATTTTTTAATTTTTAACATTTACATTTAGAAGTTAATTCCAAGAATTTAGTAGACATACAATTGTAAATGTTACCATGATAAACAAATGAAATGTATTTTTAAAAAGTGCCAGTAAGTTTTGATTCCATATCGCGCTATTTTAACAATTATTACATCAAAAAATCTATTTCTATATAATTTCACTGAACAGTTCCAACTGACAAGATTTGCATAAGATCCAATTAAAATGCAATCTAGAATAGTTAAACTAGGATCTATACCTATATGTAATACTATTTCAATTGGTTAACTTTGATTAAAAATAATATTAAATATAAATTGTAAATTAGTGGTCACATTAAGAATCAATAAATATTAATATATATTTTATTTAAATGACGCATAGTTTTTTATCCTCTGAAAATTTGGGGTGTAATTCAAATATTATTCTTACCTTAGGATCATATCTTCTGTACTGGTCTAAGCCCAAACCTGTAAAATTATATTTATTAGCAACTAATGCAAGGTCATAGTGAAACTTCTTGAATTGAAACTAACAAAGCTTTTTAATGGTGAAAGAAATTTTGAAATCGGCCGAATCCTTTGTTAGTTATATTGATATATACAAAAATATAAATCTTTCCTCTTTATAATATTAGTACATATTGTAAAGCTAAGCATTAACAGGACATTTCCCCATGTAATCTAAAACTCCAATTTTACGAACATAAATGTTGAAATTACCTACAGCTACAAAAATATGTAAAAAAATGCTATATCAACATTTACCATCTGGCTGTTTGACTCCAGGCGTCATGGAACGTAAAAAGTCGTCTGGCGTCATGAATACCTCATGCTGATCATGATGTTGAGCCTGAAGGGTCGCAAAGTATCTGAACACCTTATCAGGTGTTGAATACTGTCTCATGCGATTCTCATATTCAATTATCTGATCCCGCAGCATTCCAAAAAGGATGATATATTTAGTAATGACCAATACCTTAATATTATATGATAGGATACATACATATGGAGGGAAGGTAACCATGCTTTATGATTTGAGAGGTTTAGTAAATAATAATAAAAATTAATTCTTGTAAATAGACTTTAAACATAAAACATGAATAAGCATGAAAATACAAGTTGTGAATCTTCTGTTTATAAAGATCTGTAGAGTTGAACACACATTTAATAAATATTATAATTACAATTTTTTACATGAAGCATTGTTTAAAATGTATTGTTAGTTTTTATGACATCCAATGTTTTTTAAATTAACCAAAAACAATAAATAAAGCCAAACAAAAACAAAAATAAGAAATAATACCATCAGGCTGCTTCATGCCTGGTGTGATTGCTCTCAAGAAGTCATCAGGTGTCATGTAAACTTCAGTGTTCTCTCCAATACTCAACTTAACAGTTGCAAAATAGCGAAATATCTTGTCCGGAGTTGAATATGACCTCATGCGGTTTTCATATTCAATGATCTAAATTGCAATTAAAATAAAAAAGTAACAATTGCAAAAAAAAATAAAGAAATAAGTATTTAATGAAAAAAGTATTTGTGGTTACCTTTCTGTCTCTAAATCCAATCTTTTCTCTCCTATATCTTTTCTTTTTTGTATCAACTTCACTGTCAGAGTCAGTTTCTGTTATTTGTTCGGCTGCAGTAATAGCAGGAAATACTTGGTGACCCAACCTTAAATATTAGAATTTAACTTCTATAAAAAAATAGTACAATGATAAAATATAAAGTTCAGTAATAAAATCAAAATATTGTATTTTGTACAGTAACTATATAAAAACTTACCAGATCTTATACGACGTATAAGTAACTGCACTAAACAAAATAGAATACAATAAGTATTTGTATGAAAGTTGATGAACATTTTTATGTTCATTTTGGCGTGCATCCGTAAAATAATTCTTGTTAAATTGCAACGTTTTATTCACACTTCCTGGCACTATAATTCTTGACACATTTCCAATTTGTGGTAATTTTCTGATTAAAGGTATTACTCGTACTGACACTCCATGAGAGCGTGAAGCGACCGAATACATTTTTAAACGACCTTATATAATAATGTCTAGTATTCTTTACTGCTCTGAAACACCTTGTGTTTTGTATTTTAATTTGTAACGATAGATAGTGTTATCAAAAATATTCTTGCATTTTTCCTAAACGGCTGACACTGACAATGACAATGTCAAGTTGATATTTGTGAAGAGTAAAAATAAAATACTGGAGTGTTGCAGCTACCAAAATTTTTGGTTCCCTTGTTGTGTCAATAAAACTTGGTTAAATGCAGTTAAAAGCACGCACAAATGGGTAACAGTGTTGTTTTAAAAATAAAGGATTTACTGTTTGGTACACATTCGTTGGTTTAATAAGAGGTTCCTAAAAGAACAAAGTCTCTAGACATTACTCGAAAACTAACAAAGTCTTCTGAAATGCAACACCTTTTCAATGCTTTTTGTCCATGATTTCGTTGACGTAAAATACAAGAAGAGTTAGAAAGCACTTACCAAAATTAAGGGAAATAGAAGTTAACATCTAAAATGTTCAATTTGTAAAAGTGTACTAAAATAAAATGTGTGAAGGTATTTCATTTTCCCGTGAAAATGTTTTATCATTTTCTAAAAGGGCAGCATCGAAGCTGTGTCTATAGTGAAAATTTTGTCTTTGTCTGTGGTGTAGTGTGGAGGAAAGAGAAAAGTAGAAGCACGAAACGATCGAGAAAGATGTTTGATATTTTCTTTGAATTATTTTAAAAATTGATTGGTTTGCGTGAGAACACATTTCGGTTGTAATAAAGGTAAATGTTATTTTGTGCCTAGGAATTAGTAATATTTATTTGCCGAAAGTTAGTTTTAACATTAAATTCTCTTACAATTAAATTTGCACATTTCATTTCGTACGCAATAGAAAGGAGTGAGTTATATAACCTTGAATCACGGGATCTTACTATTGATCAGTACTAGGTAAAATACAATTAGATTCCAGGTAAGAATTTTTAATATCAATGAAATACGTAATCGAGATTGACGTTACAATTTGTTAAGGTTGCGTTGCACCTAACGATATCAATGACATTCCGATAAGGGAGTAATTTACTGAACATAAATTATCTTAAACTTAATAATTCTTTTTAACATTATTGTTTTTCCTTGTAATTTTTATGTTATCCTAGTTATTGTAAACTCGAAGGTTAAATTTAGATTTGTACCAGTAACCTTGAATATACCATGGCGTGCGCCAAGTTCTCGCATTGGAATATACCAGATTTTTAAAAATTACTGAATTGATATTTTATAGAATCTTAATTTTCTCCATAACGTTTCGAATTTTTAATACTTTATTTATTATCAATGTAGGCTATATATTATAATAATGATAATCCAATAAGTATTAATCTAATTCTGTTCTCTAGGCTTACAATTGTAATTGTTTATAAAATGAACAGGCATAATTGTATTGCAAGTAAAAATTATATCTCAAATTTCAATTTTATCTTATGATTATATGATTTATAAATCTTATTTTATTTTAATATGTAAAGCATTTAACAATCTTAACATTATTTGCATCTGAATGATGTTTAAATGATTTTTTTAATAAAAATTACATACTAAACTTTTGTCTTGTTAGTTATGTAATATATTTTTAAAAAATCCTTTTACTAAATGTACATTTTACCATAACCACTTCTAAGAATACAACAATGATCTGTTCATTTTTTAAATATGCTGTTATTATTCATCTTTTCCTCTTTTTAAATAAAATGTAATTTGTATTAAATCTTTTTTATTTCTTGCATTGCGTAGTGTTTTATATTCCTTTTATTCTCTTGTAACACATTATAAGTTAGTGTTACACTGCAGTTGAATTTGCTTCTTGTCACAGCGCCAATTAAACTAGTGCAATGATATTACTGACCTACATTTAGACTGCATAATTGAATTTTATCTAACAACCATGGCATACTTGAACAATCTATTGTTATTTTCAACTTGTCTGCTTAATTGTACAAAATGTGAACTCTGAACAGTTTGCTTTTTATAAATATCTTTTACTGGCTGTTTCTCTTGTCTTCGCCGGTGTGAAAAAAAAATTCAAATTATAGGTTATGTTACTCAATGATAGCATAGCTTTATAATAGTGCGAATTTTTGAATTTGGTCCAGTAGTTTTTAAGTTATTTCAATACATACAAAAATACTGAAATACAAATCATTCCTCTTTATAATATTAGTATAGTTTTTTACTACATATAGTATATTTAAATCATATATGATAATTCTTAAATCCTAATTGAATGAAAAAAATGTTAAAGCTCTCAGTTTTAAGTGGCAATTGTATCTGTAAGCTTTAAAGTGTTTTTTGGGAAGAACCCAACAGTGTATTTTGATATTAGTTCTTTAAAATGGTTTTCCTTAGTTGAAGGAGGAATCTGCAGTCCTTTAAATATTGAACCTTATCTAGTTTTTCTGATGTAATGAAAAAGGAATGATCTCTTTGACTTTTGATAAAAAATTTATAACATTAATTTTGTCCGCAGATCCATTTTATTAAAAATTACATAGACAGAAACAAACATGCATCGTGCAAGAATAGTGCTTCAAACATCTAACAAATTAGGCAACGGCGAGAGATTTGCGTCATGGCTTTTAAACAAACCACAGGTGAGTTATAACCAAGATATTGCTTGAAGTGTAGGGAGCAAGTTAATTAATATCCTCTTAATTATATTGTGCAAATGTCACATTTATCACAAAAAAAAAATCATAACGACTTCCAGACTATGTTCTACATCTGTGTAATATTTAATTAAGATCTGTAAATCAGTTTTAGGTTACCAAACATCCATCCAAAACATATTATTTTGTGAAAATATAAGAAACTGCAATTCATGTTATTATTATAATAAAAGTTAAGCCATTATCTTTTCTCATATTAACTTTACAGAGCCAAGCCCCCTAAATTGATAACAAATTATCTTTGAGTGGTGCAATAATTGTTATTGTTTTTCAATATCGTCTACATTACCATTGAAGATACTGCTATGACATTTGTATGCTGTCCCTATTTTTTCAAAGAAAATGAAAGTGACGACAGTAATTGTATACAAGATGATGAAAATATACAGTTATGTAACATTAATGTAAAATGTTTCTATACAGAGTGCTGCTGTAACAGTAAACGCCCAAAGGCTGAAGAGTTCTACAGCAGCAGAACCATTCCTTAATGGTTCCAGCTCCGCCTATGTTGAGACTATGTACAATGCATGGCTCTCAGACCCCAACTCTGTGCATGCGGTGAGTGATAATTTTATCTGTAGCAATATACAGGATGTTCAATAATTATAGCTACTGGCTTTCACCCGCGTCTCTGTCCGCGTGGAATTGAAAAAAAAGGAAAAGTAAGTGGACTATGTGTTCTTACAAACTATCCTCTACATATATGCCAAATTTCATCAAGATCTATTCAACCTTTAAGGCAATTCAGACAGACATCCATATATCTATCTATCTTACTATCTTAACTTTAGCATTTATAATACTAATAAGAATAAGTAAGATAGAAATCTGCAAATTCTAAAAATTTTGTACATAATTTCTTGGTTTCTTGTATGTTTATTATCTAGCTTAGTAGACTAATGTTTTGTAGAAGTACAAATAAATAAAAGCAAAATTCCATAACAGTTAGGTAACTTTCGTTCTCAGTTCCTCTCATAATGATTCTTATATCAAAAGCTAGAAATTTGATATAGACATAAACATCTCAATATTAAATTATTTCTCGTCTCATTGTTGTCTAGACCTATTTAATAACAACAATCTATGAATAGAAAACCTATTTAATTGCTTATGTAATAGAAATTAATTACCATTGTAATTGTTTCAAGTATATAATAAATTTTATTAGGTACTTTCACTTTCAAATAGGAAGGGTGTAGTCCCCGTATTGTTCCACTTTTGTCTCATTCATAAACAATTGAGGTTTCTGTACTTTTGTCCCCTTCTAGCTAATATTAAGATTTTGAATTTAAGATAACTGTTATTTATAATGGGTTTATAACATGTTAACTAGGTCGTCTATATATTTTTAATGTTATCGAATATTTGGAATTGTAGAGGTGCAAATGTAACACTTAAAATATGTAGACTTTACTTATTGTAACAACATTCATCGATTTTCTTATTCTTCATTAATTAACGCCTATTGTTTTAGTTCAAATATTGTGTGATGTTATTCATTTGTCTTTTACTTACTTGTGGTGTAATTTTAGTATGAATAAAATTATCGCAGGAATTAGTTATGACGAGTATACTAGATCTGTTATATTCCCTAAACCTAGAAGTATGTATTATTTTAATAAATAAGCATAATTCATAACAAGAATATTTTTATAAATTTAAATTATATCAATATTAAGATGACAAATAAAGTTTAAGAAAACGAAATTGTTAAATCGTGCAAGGTTAATTTGCTGATGTGCACTAACAGTATCCAGTTATTACTTGCTCGGTTGTGGTTGCGGCGCTAATCCGCTAACAAGTTCGTCCACATGATGACATTGTGTCGCCTCATGACGAGAGTACAAAGCCAAGGACGTTTGTCAAATATAGTAGAAGAATTTAATTTCCTTCCCATTCAGAATCGAATCTCATACGTCCTTCAAATAAAGGTCCTTCATTCAACAATGTTGTTTTATGGAGAAATTCTCGAAAGTGCTTATTCCGTATTGTTTGATAACGTCAATAAAGTTTGATAATAATTGATAAATGATATTCTAAAAACGTAACATTGGTAAATACTGCAATCATGATTGCTCGGTATTATACATTTGCCCAGTCATGTTTGGGGTTCCCCGTATGAAATATAACGTTGTTTTAGTGAAAAATCCTCTGCTAAAGATTTTTTATGGGAGTAAAGGTACGATTTACGTACTTCGGGATTTTAAGAATATTACTAGAAAATACTGCTAGATGCTTAATAAATCATATTGTTTGCGTTATCTCCTTGTGGCAACATCGTAGTATATTTGTTATGTACTTTACGTAATACTACGTAATGTTGAGTCATTTTATTATTTGGTGCATAGTCTTGGGACGCGTTCTTCCGCAATGCGACCGCGGGCGCGCAGCCCGGCGTCGCGTACACCCCGCCGCCTAACTTAGCGCCTTACGCCAAGAATGAGGTGCCCCTCACGTCACTCGTTCCCGCCTCCGCCGGTATGCCATCCATCGCATCAGGTAATATCGATTTTCATCAATCGAATTATTCGATTATATTATGAATGGCCAGATGTATGGTTCCGTAATCATAATTTTAATTCTTGTAGGATTAAATCTTGTTGACAAGAGTCTGTATTCTTGTCTTTTGAATAGCATGATGACATAAATTACTGGACCTGGTTGATTATAAAGACGAGAGGAGAATCTTATAGGTTAATAGTATTTAACTAGAGTAATGATTCCTCAGGTTCTCCCATCAATGAAAAAATCATCGACGACCACTTGGCCGTGCAGGCGATCATCAGAAGCTACCAGGTGAAAACTTTACCATTTCATACTTACACGAAAACTCGCTATACAATTTATTATTTTTTGCACAGTTTCTTTAGTCTCGATCCGATCCCGTTTAGCTAATGGAGTCAGTCATTGTAATTATACACCATCGTTAATATCTATGGTCTAGATACAGCTAGATTTATTTTGTGTACTTGTTTTTAATCTAAATTATTTACAATTCATTAAAAGCTGTAAAAAATTGCTAAAAGACTTGAATAACAAGAATAAGTTTCCCCTTCCTATAAGTTAATTTCTCCTTAAATGATTTAATTACTTTAAATTATATTCAATTTCATAGTCGTCTATATTAGGGTATTGGTAATCGAAGTTAAATTGATTTTTTGCAATGGAACATTTCAAATAGCTAACATCATGTATTTGGCGACTTGCACGGACAATGTCGAGGTGCACATTTATGTGCTAAATGGAATATTGGTTATATGTATTTACTATTTAGTGATGCAATTTATAACAAAGGGTGTGAAAAGGATGAAGTATCGTACTGTCTCGTTCGTTGAGATATGAACTCAATGTCGTACTTGTACCTATCTACCTAATACACTAGTAAAATTTCCATAATGACTATAAATGCTATACGTTTATAAAAGGAGGTTAGGTTATTGGTATGATTACGACATTGGGGATAGGGAAAAGGCCGAATTAACACGTTAGTATTATTTGGTATTGCAATGTTTTTCTTATATTAGATTTGATTGCTGTGCGACCCGGCGACACATCCCTTACGAAGTCAACCAACGTACTAGAATTTATATTGGTACCATTAAAAATTGATACAATCAATGTATCAAAATAAATCGTTTACTTCCTGTAGTTATTTACCCTTTTAATTTACAACATGAAACATATCTAAATAATGATTATCAGAAAGAACCAGTAGAATGTATTTTTTTTGTTTTTTGGAGTTCTTTAATAACATAATCTTTTGGTTAGATTTCCTTAAAAATGGAGTTGAGGCTTTAAGGAAATCTAAAGTAAACGTATTTCCCTGTGCATAATAAATTAAAAGCAGTAGCTTGGAACTGGTTTTGGTTCCAGGATACGTCACATATTCTAGCTACAACAGACTGAATCATTCGAGTTTGCATATTGGTATTTTATATTCTTAATAGTCAATTGTTTATTTGAGTTCATTTTGTCTTGGACTCGAAGCTTTTCTTCAGTTAAAACTGTATCAGGTCTAGTCCATTGTAAGTTGGTGTATCAGTCGCCTGGTCGTACAGTGAGATAGTTGTGGGTAAACGATGTGGGGGGTACGTGGCAGGCTCGCGGTCACTTGGCGGCGGACGTGGACCCCCTCGGCATCACCACGGCCAACCTGCCCGAACTGGGCATGCGCGCCCCAAGCTCCGAGCTCATCATGAGGAAATATTTCAATTTCGGTACGCGGAACCATCGGAACCTCGACCAAGAGATGAGACGAGTACAATCGTTTGATAACGCCCCAAAGGTTTGCGTCGTCACCGTATGGACTGACCGATATATCTTTGAAATGCCATCGTCACCCTCGATATAGCGATCCCCTGACATTTCAATATACTACTGCTGAATTGTTCGTTCTACTTTAGTCATTAGTTGGTCAGACAATAGTTAATTATAACCAGCAAAATGTTGCATCAGATTATCAGTTAACAAATTTGACAATACAACTTTTAATAGTACATTGTTTCCTTAGTAGGATTAATTATCCAAGAGAAAGTAAAGAAGTCTCAGATAGAAATAATTTAGAAATGAAGCTATTTTTGTCCGAAAGTTTGTACGGTGGTGACGCATTCCGATGTTGTACTGACCTTTCACTGTTGCGTTGCGTGTCGCGTGTTGCGTTTTAATAAATACGATATTATTGCATACATTTTGTATTAACATACAATAACGTTATATCAAGTATTGTACTCGTGTTACTGGAATGCCCTATTGAGAGCTTTATAAATCATTGGGAAACAAACGGGTGTCTGAGACTGCGCATGTATGTGATAATATTGGAATAAGAATTGAACTAATTTGTTTGCAGTAGATGTTCAAAGTAGCGTAGCTGTTAATCGAGTTATTCGTAAATCATAAACGCATCACTTTGAGACATCGCATTAAATTACTTTCATTATTCATAGGAGATTCGAAACTAACGGACCGATTTGAAAAATTGCTAGTCTCAACTCTCACGCTGTATTTCTTTCCTTTATCTATTTGTATTATTTTTAATTAATTACCAGTTTAGTCACTAATTTTACCCAAGTTTATGAAATAACAAATCTTATATGCCTATTATTTTAAACATACTTTTCTTACTAACATAAGGGTAAGTCGCCAAGGCGTGTTGACTGTTGTCGAATTATAAAAAAAAACGAAAGTCAGCAGTGTTAACTGTTGCCGATAAAAGAACAGTTGCAATTGGCGTTTGCTGAGTTTTGGGTAAATCTTTTGGATTGTTCCCGCGATTCAGTCTCGGGGCCACCTCGTGGCGCGACTCGATCCCCTGGGCATCGTCACCGGGGACCCGGTCTCGAGCGGCGAGTGGCACGGCGGCCTACGCGCCTTCGCCACCGAGGCCGTCATTAGACAACACGTGCGATTCGGTATGACCCAAACACCTATTGCCTTTCAGGGTTATAATAGGATATTTCAAAATTGTACGATATTCGGAATTTAGGGTCCGATTGGAGCTTTTCAATTCTTAGTATCTGTTACTTGGCTTTATTCAGGGTTAAATTAAAAATTACAAAACATCCGTACATTAACATACGATGGCGATTACGATAGACAATAAAATAAGGACTGAATAATTTGTTTAAATTTGGTTCTTAAAGCAAAGTGTAATTCTTTTGTTTGTTATATAGTTTTTAATATCTTTTTCTTCTAAATTGGTTGGCATAGGCTTTGGATGCACAAGTTATTTTCTCTCTGAATCTGAGATGTTTCGTCTGAAGACTTCGGAGGTCGTTTGTCACTGCTGTTGGTAGTTTTAGTACCGCTTCCTTTTGGTGTTTGGTCGTAGATTAGATAGTAAATCACTGTACCCATCGAATGGTGCTTGGGAAATTAATTATGTTTATGAACAAGCAATTTTTTAAATATCGGATAGTTAAATAGTTTAAATTTTAATAAATTATTCTTCGATCAAAGTACACAGTTAAATAAAACTTTAAATGTTACTAATAATTGATGTTAAATTTGAGACTAGCTTTTTGAAATATACGGTCATTATTGACATCTAACTAAATAAATATTAGCTGATTTAAAGTAACAAACTCATTAATATATAGTGTTCATAAAGTTTTAATCAATATAATTTTTATTTAATTTCGCTTGTATATATGTATGTTTTATTTTTACTAACGCTAAATTAATCATATTCCTTTACTAGTGAAAAAGGTTAATAGGGAATATCTAGATTATCGTATTTTCAATTTTATAATTAAATATACGGTTAATAGTAAATTATATATTCTCGATGATTGATAAAGGTATGACAATCATATTGTAATTGCACTTATAAAATTCTAAATATAATATACCCTAGAATGGAATTTTTAAATCAAAGAATCGATACAAATTTTACTTCGAGAAGTTCTGGGGATTCTTATCACTGATCTTTTTAGGGTCTATTATGTTGTGATTACTCCAGTGCTTTTATTGTATTTAAGTCGGTTGTGTTATACCTTAGTTATAGTTCGGTCGTGTACACTATTGATAGGACTGTAGAAATGAAAATAATTTCTTCCCCTTAACAATAACCAGTTTGCATATTAGTAACTAATTTATGTATTTATGTGGCTAACATTGCAATTATATTCATAGTTTAATATATAATTTGTAAGCTATATGTTGACATGTTCACACTACACAATACGGTTTACAGACATACATTGATATTACGAAGTTTTTATTAACTTGATAAAAGTTCTATGGTTTATTTTACGGTACTTTTTTCATACTTGTATTGGGTTATTTCGCGTGTAATCTGATCTGACTAAACGCGGTGTTTGTACAATCAAAAAAATTAAAATGCGAGACATTAATATTCTTTCTTTGAATCTATTTCTTTGTATCATTTACGCTTGTTTTTTTTACTATTCTTGAAAGTATAACACGTAACACGATTTTAGTTTTCTTCCGCATACTAAGTATAAACTAAAAAACAACAGATCCGAGGACATCATATAGCGAAACTCGACCCATTGGAAATAGCAAACCACGAATTGGCCGATAAAAATCCTCGGGAGGTGATACACAACAGCTACAGGTTTGGTAAGAAGCGACAACCCCGGCCGCTCGGACACCACGTGTAGTTATGGCTCTATTAGACATGTCCTAAATAATAAGGCTGCCAGTTAAATCATTAGTATCACAATGTACAAGAACTTCTCGAAAATGAACCACTTTATATAGAACAATAGTCGACAAGAAACACCTTCTGTGTTTTCAGCATAGAATTTGATTTTTTTTTTATATTATGAGGTGGCAAAAGAGCAAGCGGCCATCTCTATCCGTCGAAATGGTGAAGCGACTACTGCCCATAGACATCTGCATTTACAGATGGGTTGCCTACTCATATTCACGGAAGAAGAGACGCACATAAACAAGATATTTTCCCTTCCCATGCGTCTCTTCCGCCGTCAAATCCGCTTTTCCTTCCCATCCCTTTCTCTTAAGAAAGGGTGCAAACGAAGATATTTTGATAAAACCTCTCTATAATACAGTGACTGTAGATTGACAGACATTGAATATGAAGTTTAAATAGTTTTGATTAGCGACAAATAACATCATTACAGAAGACACGATTCGTTGTACTTCATAAAGTTTCATTTTAAAGTTGGTATATTAAATGTCGTTAGGTTGAATAGCATAGGCCACATAGGATCAATTGAACATTATTACGTTCCGAGATTTTCCTTATTCCAACACGTAGATATGATGTTTGTTGTAATTGTCAAATTGTAATAGTACTGTAAATCTGTAGTAATAGTACTGTAAAAACCGTTGGCAGCCTTAATTATTTGTTTTTTGTTGCATTACTTTTTTTAATTTATACCGACGCCATAACTACAGAGTATAGTGACGTATTGCACAAAACCCTGGGCACGCACGCCATTAACTGTGTTCATATATTTCTGTATTCATATATTTCTACGTATTGCATGACATCATCATGTGGTAACATATTTATATCTCAATTTTGTGCATGAGTCAACATTTTACATCAATTAATTTCTAAAGCATGTTATAGTATTATATATTTATTCGATTGAGATATTATTGTATGGGTTCATACCGTATATCAATCATATATGTATATTTGTATGTTATGGACGTGGTACGGTTTTAACAGGCGCCGGCCTTGACAAGAAGTTTCTCGGCCGATGTTGGGCCACGGCCAGAGAATTGTTTCGTCAATCGCATCAATCTTTATCATGGCTCCTTTTTGTTTTCACACAATTGGACTTTGGACGGGAACAATTACGTATAACGTGAATATTAATTGTAATGGATGTCAAATTGTATAAGGGTTGTGTTTATAGTTTTTAAGGTATACTTGATAGTGGTTTATTTTTAGATTATCATGAATTCTCATCTCGTATGCTAGTAAAGGGATATGATACATGTACTTTTCGATCTTGCCGCTTTTTATGTGCTTGTCTCTTTTGCTGCATTTTGATGTTCTTATTTTCTTATGGTGTTTATCTTCTGTGATCTTCATACTCTTATAAGACACTTTATGTTTTAGATGAAGCCGACATGGACAGAGTTTTTAAACTCCCTTCGACTACTTTTATCGGAGAAAAAGAAAAGGCTTTGCCACTTAGGTAAGTTCTCAATTTACTAAGAAAAGCTGCTGCTCGATTACGATTATTAATTCAACAAGTTTTATCTTAAAGTTTTGAGCACAATTTAAATATCCTAGTGCAGACGCAATAAAAATTTAAGATAATGTTAGAATGTAGTTATGTGTGTGAAAGTGGATAAGATATCATTCTACACAAATGTGCCGAGGACGGCAGAGAAATAAACGACAAAATTGATTGTTTTCTCAAAGCACGAAGAACGACGCACATTTTATGTTATCTTGTTTACCGTAAAGCTAAACGAGTCGGTGTCAATGTCAGATATTTTAGTATCATATGATATCCCAGATTCTTGTATCGCGTTGTTTTGACTGGAGCACGGCAATGTCTTTCATTGCGGGTCATACACAAACGGACATATCCAGTAATGGACTGGATATGGTCGCTTGAAAATGAGTCGGTTTAAATCGGTTTTGGTAATACACCACTGTTGACTCATGTGCTCCTGGTAGTTAACTTTTGTTTGTTTATTATTATGCATATTTATAGCAGCCCTGCATTGTTTATTTTAACAAAGATTATTCATGTCCTAGACTAGAATATAGGTATGTCGGTAATAAATATTTATGTATGTTTTTATTGTCTCTTAGGGAAATCTTGAACCGTCTAGAGGAAGCTTACTGCAATAACATCGGCATTGAGTTTATGTTCATCAACTCGTTGGAGCAATGCAACTGGATCCGACAGCGTATGGAGCCGCCGAATGTCACCAAGATGAGCCCCGACCAGAAGCGTTTGATCCTTGCTCGTCTCACCAGATCTACAGGGTGAGGGTTCTTTATACTGTTTGGAATATCATATTGTCATAGTCATCTTGGTTACTAGCTAATTTAATATCGCCAAAAACCTTCAATTTTCACTTTCAAGTATGGACTGTTCAAATTTAATAGACCAATTTATCAATATTTTATCGGTTATTTGTGACATTGGTTTATATAGATTAGATACAACTAATCAGATTTTCGTATTTGACAATGTCACGGTTAGCTGATAGATACATCAGTTGTCACCAAAACTATTGTTTCCCGTTCAGATTAGATAAGTGACGCTAATAGTTTAGCGTCTTTATGTTGTTTGGATATTATTATAGTGTTTGCTTAGTTTGTTACACTAGCCCGATACGACTGGCTATCTCTAAAATTTTTTAAGGTGAAAACAATGGTTTTAACAGTGACGGTATTATTATTTACAGTAAAACATTATTGTTAATTATTTATAGTGAAACTACGAAACAATAGCAACACAAATAAATAAACATTTTTATGGTGAATATAATTGGTAGTTGTAATTTAAACGCGCTGGGTATTCTTGTGGGGAATCCCGATGTGGTTTATCGTAACGTTAGGAAAAATTGTTACGTAATATTTTTAAATACATCTCTAAAACGTAATTTACGTGTATAATTTGTCTATTGTTTAACAGCTGACGTCATTAGTCTAATGACATTCAAAAAATGACGTCATCTCGAATCCAAGTTGATTTGATCATAACAATTTTTTCTTTAGTGTAGTTGGAAAGGGTAATGAAAATGTTGAATTAAAAAATAAATAACTTTTTGTCATAAAATAACGTGATATTTTATTCAAGTTATTTATCAACTTGATTATCGTAATGTTTGCTTTGTTGTAAATAATTTTTTTTTACTTCACCTTTGTTTTTGCTTAATGCTACGCCCTTCAAGGTAATTATTCGGTACATTGATAACAAATTGAGTATAGTATGTCATTGTTACTCTATAAAAAGCAAACCTAATTGTAATATTTTTTTAACAGAAGGGTCTCCCCTTATTATTGACTAGCTGTTGCTCGCGAGTTTGCCCGCGTGAATTTATAGTAATATAGTAAAAAACATAGCATATGTTACTCAGTGATAACAGCTTTTTAATGGTGTAAGATTTTTTGTAATTGGGCCAGTACTTTTTGAGTTATTACAATACATAAAAAATTACAAATCTTTCCTTTTTATAATGTTGTAATGAAATCTTTTGAGAACTACTTTCTTAAAACGTAGTACATATTTGTTTCTTAAAATGAAACGTCGATTGTTTTCGCGATGCTTAGAGCCGACCTGGCAAATAGTTCATTAAATTTTTGGCACGTTGTTTTTGGCTTGTTAACCAACTTTCTTTTTACCATAATACTATTTATATTGTGTTACAATTTAACACTACTTACACTATCATTTGAAAGTGTAATGAAAATTTAGGCCCTGTCCCACCACTGGCTGATAGAGGTTCAGATAGCTTAAAAATGACGTCACTGTCTGATAAGGGAACAAAATCCGACATTTCCATCACATATTTTACACGTTAGATTGTTATTAGACAATTTACAATTTGGTGGGACCTACCCTTATTCTTATTTCTTCCAGTTTCGAGAACTTCCTGGCGAAGAAATGGTCGTCAGAGAAACGTTTCGGTCTCGAGGGATGCGAGATCCTTATCCCCGCAATGAAACAGGTCATCGATGTATCTACAAAGCTGGGAGTTGAGTCTATCATTATGGGCATGCCGCATAGAGGTAAGAATGTTTGCAATTAACTGAATATTATTATAGATTTTAATGTGCAAGGAATCCAGTGCAACTAGTATTGTAACTTCAATCTTTTGTATCTGTTTATATAACCTTTTTAGTTGTAAAAAGGTAAGCTACATACATATACAATTTAGTAAATGTGCTGAATATTACTTCTTACTAATCTTCTTTCTTATATAAATGCGAAAGTTTAGATGGATGTTTGTTAGAGTTTGTAGCCTAAACGGCTGAACGGAACTCGACGAAATTTGGCAAATATGTAGTGGATAGTTTGGAAGAACACATATGTAGGCTTCTCCCTTTTTTTAAATTCCACGCAGACGGAGTCGCGGGCGAAAAATAGTCATAAATATTTAGTATATTTTTGTATTACAGGACGTCTGAATGTGTTGGCCAACGTGTGCCGCAAACCTCTCCACCAGTTGTTCACTCAGTTCGCTGGACTCGAGGCTGAAGATGACGTAAGTTGCTAGTATTTTTATCATAAAAATTTATTTTTATATCCTAAAGACAGAAAAGATGAATTATCTGACATTAACTGTATAGATTGAAGAATTGAAAAATGTTTTGTGAAAGCTATGACCAAATGCCTTTCAATAAGTTTTAATTTTTTTTAAATTATGATAAAATTTTCCCTATAAGTTTATCAGCGGAAGTCGTTACTTTCGTCACAAAAATTGGTATTTTTACATGTCTTATTTCCATTTCTCGTAAATTCTTCATTAATTTTTCGTTTTTATGTTAAAAGGGTTCCGGGGACGTGAAATACCATTTGGGTACATACATCGAGCGCCTGAACCGCGTCACCAACAAGAACATCCGGCTGGCGGTGTGCGCCAACCCCTCCCATCTAGAGGCCGTGGACCCCGTGGTGCAGGGCAAGACCAGGGCCGAGCAGTTCTACAGGGGAGACAATGAAGGGAAAAAGGTATTTACACAATATATCTATACTATAATAATAAAGCGTAAACACACACTTATTTGTTGCCTAAGATGTTAGAAATTACAACATATTTTTGAATAATTTTTTTTTTTTTTTAATTAAAAAAAAAAAAAATTATTATACCTAATACATACTGTTCCGACCCTCCATAAGGGATAAGGGCAAGTTGCTGAAGAATTTGGTAGGACTGACTTCTAAGTTGTTTGTGTTAAGGTGATGTCAATCTTGCTGCACGGCGACGCGGCGTTCGCGGGCCAGGGCGTGGTGTTCGAGACGATGCATCTGTCGGACCTGCCTGCCTACACCACGCACGGCACCGTGCACATCGTCGTCAACAACCAGATCGGCTTCACCACCGACCCCCGGCATTCGCGCTCCTCCGCATACTGTACAGGTACGTTCATTACAAACACATGCCAGCCATGCAAGTAGCTAGCACGATATATGATTTCGTAGCAATTATTACACGTAAGTTGTAGGAGGCGTTGAGAAGTGTACAAAATATACACGTCTCGTCTTAAACGTTTTCGTTACGTCATTAGCTAACATGTGCCAGTAACTGGCATGCCTGTTTCTATTCCCTTCTATTGTAAAGTATTGCCAGCCTAATCTATAATTAATGTTAAAGTTGTCCAATTAAAGAAATCAGAGTAAAGAATTGATCATAAGAATGTCGGGATTTATCTTGGAAATCACAGTAAAGGAAAACGTGATGCAATCTAGACATCTGCAAAGAAATTTAAAGATATGTATGAAGAAAACACACTTGGACAAGATGCTTCACTGTAGCTTAGTAAAATTTTACTTAGGGTAATCTCCGTGTCCCTTAATGGGGACGTAGTGATTATCATACCAATAGCGAAAGTTAAAATGCATGTCTAAGTTTGTAGCCTAAACTGAACGGATTTCGATGAAATTTGTCATAGAAGTAAAGAATGGTCTGTAAGAACACATAGACTTATTTTAATTCCACGCGGAGTGCAGGCGAAAGCTAGTAAAAACTAAAAAACCCCATTGTACAGACGTGGCTCGCGTGGTGAACGCGCCGATCTTCCACGTGAACAGCGACAACCCGGAGGCGGTGATGCACGTGTGCAACGTGGCGGCGGAGTGGCGCGCCACCTTCCACAAGGACGTCGTCATCGACATCGTCTCCTACCGCCGCAACGGACACAACGAGGTCGACGAGCCCATGTTCACGCAGCCCCTCATGTACCAGAAGATCAGGAACACCAAGCCCGGTAACTATCACCGATCCTCACACAATACATGACTCTAATTAAAATTAGTGGTATTTTTGACAATAATTTGACCATATCTTACTAATGTTATAAATGCGAAAGTTTAGATAGATGGATGTTTGTTGAAGTTTGTAGCTTAAACGGCTGAACGCATCTCTGTGAAATTTGGCATAGATGTTAGTGATACATAGTGAAGGGTTATTCTAGAAGAAACTTTATTTTTTCAATCCCCACGGACAGAGTTGCAGGCGAAAACTAGTAGTGAATCTGTCGGAAAATACGTAAATCTTACACGGATATGAAAATGGTTCGTTTTTGATACTGCAGGGAGTGCTAGTGAGCTATCACAATTTTTATTTGACTTATGCCCACTTTGATCAGATATCCTTCAGATTATCTCGCATAATTTCATTATTGACATATTTAATGCAACTAAAATTTCAACGGAGGTTTAAATCTCAAGGTGAGTTAATGGTATAAATCATTAACAAATGTAATATTTTGTGTTTTCAGTATTGGAGAAGTACGCGGACCAGCTGATCACGGAGGGCGTGGTGACGGCGGAGGAGGTGAAGGACGTGAGGGACAAGTACGACAAGATCTGCGAGGACGCGTACAACCAGGCCAAGCAGGAGACCCACATCAAGTACAAGGACTGGCTCGACTCGCCCTGGTCCGGATTCTTCGAGGGCAAGGACCCGCTCAAGGTAGGAACGTAGCTACTGACTTTGAAACTTTTTTCTGAAAATAATATAAAATTAACAGTAGAATTCGCAACAGTATTAGATGATGCATAGATTGCTGGATCTCAATTTCTAAAAAAAGAGAATAAATACCCGCAAGGTCCCTCCCTTGCGTAAATATATTTTATTTTATTGACTACAGATAAAAATTTATTATTACGTTAGTATGTGGTATAGAGGAATGGAAAATATCTTAGTATAAGCTTTGCTCTATTTATTAAATTTATTTCACAATGTTTTTAATTGTTAATGCTTTAATAACTAACCTATGATCAGATGTCCCCGACGGGCGTGGTGGAGGAGACGCTGGTGCACATCGGCAAGCGGTTCTCGTCGCCGCCGCCCAACGCCGCGGAGTTCCAGATCCACAAGGGGCTGCTGCGCATCCTCAAGTCCCGCATGGAGATGGTGGAGAACCGCACCGTGGACTGGGCGCTGGCAGAGGCCATGGCCTTCGGCTCCCTGCTCAAGGAGGGCATTCACGTGCGCCTCTCCGGAGAAGATGTGGAGAGAGGCACCTTCTCGCACAGGTAAGTTTTCAACACTTCTTATCGTCTTTTTAATTAAATTTTTCAAAGCTAACAAGGGTAGAATCAATCAAATCTCACTTCATACTGATATTATAAATGTGAAGGTTGGATGAATATATGTTTGTCACTACTTATTTTTAAAAAGGCTCGACGGATCTCGAAGGTATTTTGCGCAGATTTAGAAAATAACCCAAAAGTCTACATAACGTCATTTACTACTTTTTTCATTCTGTGCGAAGGAATTTGCGGGATAAAGCTAGTGTTTTATATGTAATGGTGTTTGTTCGCAGACATCACGTGCTGCACCACCAGAAGGTGGACAAGGCGACGTACTGTGCGCTGGCGCATCTCTACCCCGACCAGGCGCCCTACACCGTCTGCAACAGCTCCCTATCCGAATACGGTCAGATAGTAACCTTATTATACCTTTACAAACTTAGATATCTAGGGTAACTCTTCACCAGAATTACTTAAAGACTACTTCTAGCAACTTCTAGAAACAACAAAAAACGTCAGAGGTATACCAACCTTACTTATTTAATATAGTTATATAACTAGCTGCAGTATTAGTTTGTTTGCTTATCTGTTAGAAGATTGCTATTAAACGAATTATATAGAACGTATTCCATAGACTTGTTTACATCTAATTAGGTTGAGGTCGAATACTGAAAAGTCGTTTAAATATGTAACAGCGTCTTAAATGATAAGACCACGCTTGCAAATTTCTTACAAATTTTGATGTCTATGTGATTGTAAATAGCGTTTACGAAGCAAACTATTATAGATTTGAAATCAGCCCAGTAGTTTTTGAGTTATTTCAATACATACAAAAAACAAATCTTACTTCTTACTAATATTATAAATGCGACAGTTTAGATGGATGGATGGATGGATGTTTTTTAGAGTTTGTAGCCTAAACGGCTGAACAGATCTCGACGAAATTTGGAACAGATGTAGAGGATAGTTTGGAAGAACACATAGGCTATTCACTTTTGTTTTCTTTATTCCACGCGGATGGAGTCGCGGGCGAAAGCTAGTTATAGTATAAATTCCTTTCAGTATTTGGCCGATAGTAATTCTGTAAGTTGTCCATGTGTTAAATGAATATTGTGCTGCGCAGGCGTGCTCGGCTTCGAGGTGGGGTACTCGGTGACGAACCCCAACGCGCTGGTGCTGTGGGAGGCGCAGTTCGGGGACTTCAACAACGTGGCGCAGTGCATCATCGATCAGTTCATCTCCAGTGGACAGGCCAAGTGGGTGCGCCAGTCCGGCATCGTGCTGCTGCAGCCGCACGGCATGGAGGGCATGGTATCTATCTATACTAAACACAAACTACTTTGTGGCGTAAGATGTCGGCAATCACACCATATTTTTGAATAATTCTTTCTTTAATAACAAGCCTTTCACTTACGAAATGCTTTATACTATATATTTTCACGCTATTAAATTTAGGGAGTAAATAAATTGGATAAAAAAACGTAATGTAAGAAAGGAACCATAATCTACAAGCTGTTAACATCAAGGAAGTAAGATTGCCATGGTCTGTCATGATGTCATGTCAAAAAAAATGTTATTTTTGTTATTAATATTGAATAATATTGTTAGGGACCGGAGCACTCGTCGGCCCGGCTGGAGCGCTTCCTGCAGATGAGCTCCGACGACCCCGACTACATGCCGCCGGAGAGCCCGGACTATGAAGGTAAATTATAACACATTGAATAAAATTGTAACCACGTAATTAACTTAAACATTAAGACCACTAAAACCAGACAGGCGCACTATTCTTAATTATTCCCGAATGACATTGACAGCTGTCATAAGGCCGATCTAGTGTTGCTACATACAAACATAGTATTTTCCATTATATAGGCCTAATTTAAGTCCCTTTCTCTTTACCATCCTTTTCTTATAAGGATAGGTTGGGAAGAGGAAGTGGATTTGACGGTGGAGGAGATGCATAGGAAGGGAAAATATCTTTATGTGCGTCTCCTCTTCCATCGTATAAGGGTAGGCAACGCATCTGCAATTGCGGATGTCTATGGGTAGCGGTCGCTTCGCCATTTTGGCGGTTTCAGGTGGTCGCTTGCTCGTTTGCCACCTAATGTTATAAAAAAAATACAGTTTATATTATTAGTTTTGTGGCATATAAATGTAAACAAATTTATCATATCATTAGGTTAAGACGATCGTAAAACGCTGTTAAAACCGTAATTACATAAGTGTGGATTAAGATTACAGTTATATCACTATTAGGACCAATTAAGGTCAAGTCTCTTAGTAATTATGATTGTAAACAATATTACGAAGATAACAATAATAATTGATTATGAAGTGCATTGTAAAGTACAGTTTAACACTTATAAAATAAAGTTCATATTGTAACGCTATTAAATTTTGGGGGTAAATCAATTGGAAAAAACCTTCATGTGGGAAAGGGACTATAAACTATAAGCTGCCAACATTAAGAAATCAAGGTTATTATGTACATACATTATTATGTATATACAGTAATTTTAACATTTGCAATTGAGAAATTGTTAAATGTAAACAAAAAAATATATTTTTTATAATTACATGCCGATTACGTACCACGAGACCAGCTAGATAATTATAACTGAACTAACTTTCGCCCGCGACTTCGTCCGAGTGGAATAAAAAAAAACAAAAGTGATTAGCCTATGTGTTCTTCCAGACTATCCTCTACATCTATACCAAATTTCATTTAAATCCGTTAAGCCGTTAAGGATACAAACTCTAACAAACATCCATCCATCTAAACTTTCGCATTTGTAATGTTAGTAAGATTATTAAGTAATGTTTATTCATTTACTTTATTGAAACTTAATATTGCAGATCACATATAAGCACCAATAGCCTAATGGTTTGGATTACGGACTACCGATCTTGTGGTCGAGGGTTCGAATCCCGCCATTTGATTATTGTAGTGAACCACATCCTAGCATAAGCCTAAAGCTTAGTTGGAATGGTTAAAGAAAATATTAGTAAATTAACAAAAATCTACTAATATTTTTATTAAAAAAAAATATTTAACAAATGTCATTGTTTATATAATTTATGTTTATTTGTATGTGCAGTTCGGCAGCTGCACGACAGCAACTGGATAGTGGCGAACTGCTCGACCCCCGCGTCGTACTTCCACATCCTGCGGCGGCAGATCGCGCTGCCCTTCCGCAAGCCGCTCATCCTCATGACGCCCAAGTCGCTGCTGCGCCACCCCGAGTGCAAGTCCTCCTTCGACGACATGAACGACGGCACCGCCTTCAAGAGGTCACTACACTCTTACTAACTACAAACACTTCTAACTGACCGTCTGTAGCGGGTTTAAGATGATATTACTATATATACTAGTTACAGGGTTTTTAAGGTTTTGGCTTCATTTTACGTTCATAAAACTGTCGCTTACGCAAACTCTCCTTTAAAGATAAATATTTGTTTGATAAACATCCCTCACAAAATAAGAAAGAAAACCGAATACATAGGATAAACTAATGTAAAATTAATTTTTTTAGCTATAAAAAGATGGTATGAAACTCAAAATATCATATTTTAATTTTAATTGACAGTAATACATACGAAAGTATAGATGGATGGATGATTGTTGTATTTTGTAGCCTAAACGGCTGAACGAATTTCGATGAAATTTGGTGTAGGTGTAGATAGTCTGGCAGAACACATAGGGCTACACAATTTTGTTTCTTATAATTATACGCGGACGGACGTAAGCTCGTAATAAAATAATTGTGATGACGTGATCAGAGTGATCCCGGAGGAGGGCCCGGCGGCGCAGAACCCGCAGAACGTGCGCAAGCTGGCCTTCTGCTCCGGCCGCGTCTACTACGACCTGCTGAAGGAGCGCCGCGAGCGCGGCCTCGACAAGGACATCGCTATTGCCAGGTGCGTTACATATACACATATACACGAAGCGTCACTTTGTATTATAAATGCAAGTTACTACATTATTCAAAACTTCTTCAATTATCTCAATAAAAATTTTCACATATGTAGAACGATCGGGAAGAACATATAGAACATGTAGAACATATACTAAAGTATTCCATAATTCCCCGCGGCGATTTCATGAGAAAATCTAATATGTAAAGAGGTTATTCAGTGTAACATCAAGTTCAGTGTATTGCCTAAATTAGTTTTGTATCATGACAGTATCACAGAAATCAGTGATTGAATTATTAAATTTAAATTAATAAAGTATATGTTTTTATGTAGAGTGGAACAGATCTCCCCGTTCCCGTACGACCTGATCAAGGCGGAGGTGGCGAAGTACCCGAACGCGCAGCTGGTCTGGAGCCAGGAGGAACACAAGAACATGGGCTCCTGGAGCTACGTGGAGCCACGTTTCCGCACCATGCTGCAGAACCACAAGCAGATCAGGTACCTCCCCCCCACACCCACACATACACCTACCATACAAATCTGACAACTGCCATAAAAACATTCATAACAACTGAGATAATCGTTGTACAAGCTTTACAGTTGTTTTAACATTCATGAATTAACATCTTACTAATATTATAAATGCGAATTTGGATGGATGGATGTATGGATGGATGTTAGAGTTTGTAACCTAAAGGCTGAAGGGATCTAGAGGAAATTTGGCATAGATGTAGAGGATAGTTTGGAAGAACACATAGGCTCCTTAACCATTTTTTAAAATTGCACATGGAGACGCGGGCGAAAGCCAGTTTCACAATAAATACGACAGGGTTCTAGCAAATAAAGTTTGGGAAATGTATTGAATTCAAATATGATGTGGGTTTACCTGATTGGCAATATGTTGCAGGGCAAAGTCCCAATCTGGGGGCAGTTGGCTAAGCCAACTGCTGGGGCAGTCTCAGCCAGCCCCCACTGGCGGCACCTCGCACTCGGTGCCCAGATACATTAGGTGAGATACATAGCGACTTATGGTTTATTCACAATGCTTTTATGTTCTGTCGCTTTTGTATGGGGCTGGCTGGGATTTTTTTACTATCTTTATTTTTTTGCACCATTTATTTTAAGCAAAATATTTGAAAAAATAAGGTTTTACTACACATCAATCTGACACAATCCCTACCTGTTTCGATAATGGTTACTTTCATAAGACCAGCTAGCAATTTCGTAATATTATAAATGCAAAAATTTAGATGGATGGGTGGATGGATGAATGGATGGATGGATGATTGGATGGATGGATATTTGAAAGAATCTAGAACCTAAACGTTTTAATGGATCACCATGAAATTTGGCGTAGAACAAAGTCTGGAAGAAAACACGTTTTTTAACTTTTTTTTTAATTTAACAAGGACTGAGTCACTCATGAGCTCATATTAAAATAAATATTAATTCAGTTTGTACGTTATTTCAGCTACAACGGTCGCGCCACGGCCGCGTCGCCCGCCACCGGCTCCAAGGCCGCTCACAACAAGGAGCTCAAGAATCTACTCGACGAGTTCTGCGTACTTTAAACGAAAACAACCTCGAAATTATACACAATAGATAAACCACCGCCATCGAACACTTTTTCATTAAATAAGCCGATTTTGTTATATGGTTACCTCCAACCGAAATGTTTTGATATCGCATCGTTCGCTGTTAAAAATTTTCTAAATGAAAATTTTATTTAAAACACGTTCCTCCACTGGCGATATGTTTACGTTTTTTGTATTTTTTAAATGTTACTGTCAGTATTTTGCAACAATTCTCTTCACGTTTAGGTAGATTAGATAAAAAATTATTTATTTATTTAATTGTAGCATAATACGTGATACGTAGCGTTTATTTAATTCTTAGATCAATTCCGTTCGTAGTCACCTTAGTATTGGATTTAATGTTTATGTTGCTAGATTTTTTTTTTGTAAATACAGAATTAATAAACTGTTGTAGACAAACATTGTCATGTAAGAGTTTTAATTATGTTGCTCCTAGTCTGAAAAATGTTCAGCTTGCAATTTAATACACTTGTAGAATTTAAAACTAAAAAAAGCTTGATTAATAATGTCCAATAGACATTAAATAAATGTCGTGAAAATTTGTAGCGTATCAAAATTATTTAAAAACTCGTATGACGATATTACATTTGAGATATTTTTAGTTTTAAACGAAGCTGGAGTTTACAAAGATAATTTTTTTTTAGATGATTTGAAACTTGTAGTGAATATCTCTTGATGCTGTAGTGATGTAGTTACCGCCATTATGGCTTATTGTAAGGACTAACACCAAATCTAATATCTTCAAGGAAATTTCCTATAGTAGACTCGCCTTTTGGCCGGTTTTCATCATGCCAGTACAGTAGGACACTAACTTTAAATCAGCGCTATCGTATAACTAGTAAAGTGTAAACACTAACTAGGCGCCCAAGTGGTCCATGTCAGACCAACTCAACTGTCTTACTGTACTGGCTTAATGCAAACCAGACATGAACCTATTTGTAATAGTTTGAAATTTTTTAAGTCTCTAATATACCTTGATTATTTTGATTTATATTGCAATGTTAAAAAGCAAATTAGTGATATTTTTTAAAATTATTTTCGTAATATGTCTAAATATATTTTGAACTTTAAGAAATTTAGTTACTTGTCAAATCATATTGGAATATTTCTATTTCAGTTTGATAGGTAAATATTAATTGTTTTTTTTTAAGGCTTAATTTGTGTAAAAATTTCATGCGATAATAAATAGGTTATGGGCGTTGTCTTTAGTACCGTTGTCTCAAATACAAGTATTGTAAATTGTTAGTATCCTTCTCCCGCTGTATCACTCGCATGTATAAAGTGCACAGTTTTCTTAATTAGTGTACACGTGAAGTTTCTATGTTATCTTGTATTTTGGAAGTGGCTCGGGCGCTGGACGACTGACTGAAGCCGGAATGTTATGGTACGTATGGAAGGTAAATGTTTGACAGGTGAGACCCGAGCAAATTTATTGCTACGTATCTTAGTTATTACTTTACAAAATAAACGTTTATTCAAATTTATTATTGTTTCATTTCATCCCTATAAATGGTTTAGTTTTCCAGGTAAGGTAATGTTTTCATTCACCTAAACAAGCACTAACGAAATAATGTGTGCCTTAAGTTTTTAAAGCGCAGAATGGACTAGCTGTCGCCCGCGACTCTGCCCGCGTGGAATTAAAAAAAAAAAACAAGTGAATGTGAAACCCTATGTGTTCTTTCAGACTATCCTCTTCGTCTATACCAAATTTCACCGAAATCCGATCAGCCGTTTAGGCTACAAACTACAAACAAACATCCATTCCATAATATTAGTATGAATAATGATTGCAACAAGTCCTTGTGAATATATAAAAACACTTAACTGTTGCACGCGTGTTCGTAAGCGCAGGAAAAATAAAATAGGCCAAGTTACTCTTGCGCACTTAAGTTACCTTTTTATACAAGTCCCCTCGGTAAGTAGCTAGATATAACAAAAACAAATTATACAAAATTAAAATAATCAATTAGAAGTACCGCAAATCCATTTGTGTACGAAATGTAATTTTTTTCCAATACAGATTCCAATATACCCACTTAACTAAATATTTGTAAATAGGCGACGAAAAAAACCTTAAGACGACGGCGTGAAATTACAGACAACTCGATACCCGTTCTTTGTAATTAGTAGATGTTATCCGAGTACTAATTACTGGCAACAGGATATTGTATAAAGCTCAGACCTCAGTTGTAACAATACGTCTGTGTAAACTTTGTCGGGTAAGAAAACTTTTTATTGTAGTATTTTTAAATGAACCAAACTCACTCAGAGCTAAGCACGCAAGCAGTTTGTTTTTTAGAGAAGAGGGCAAACAAGCAAAAGCAAAGAAACAGTAGATGTATTGCCGATTACGATAGTATTAATTTTAAGTTTGTACTTTATCTACATTACCGTTTGTAAATATTGAATTATTCTGAGTGTGTCAATTGTTTCAAAGTAATTGCATTGCAAATGTTAATGCAAACATTTATACATTTACAATTTTTAACTGATAGAATCCGTTAATAATTTAAGTACTTATATAGACTGTAACTGTAGTAGTTTAAGAATTGAAATATTCATCCACAGAATAGCTTTTCATTGTCGTATATTACGTAACAAAAACGTTTATCTCCGGCTCCCTCTATAATGAAAAGCGCAATAGATCTTAGTTGTTGACAGGCACGCGGCTTACCGCACGCTCGCAGCTCGTAGCACACTCAAGATTCTTATCTTCCGCTGGTCTCATTTCATCTCACAAAGCGTTCCCGACTCTCTATTTATAAACCGCTTAAAAAGGTGCCAAGATTAAAGATGCTATCGGTTCGAGTGTCGAGTGCGTTCTGCACCTCATCCTTGTTATATTTCAAAGACTGTCGTCTGTGAGGTGAGGAGAATGAAAAAAAAAAACAAGTCAGAGATCGTTAGTTAGACTTTAATAATTTTTTTTTATTATTTTTCATACAAGAAACATTATAAATGTTGTAAGTTTTAATAATAACAGCAGTATTACTGCCAAAAACGTTTGGACACTTTCCAATTCATTAAAAACGACCCCATAAATCCTTAAATGTTACTTTTTTTAAAGGACTTTTTAAAGTTTTAAAAAGGAACAATTATTAAATACCATTTCGTACATGAGCATAACCTGAAGCCGCACTAGTAATTTTAGTTAATAATTCGATATTCCTTTTTTTACAGTAAAAACGTTCCTACATGTAATGAACGATAAAAAGACGTCGATGATAATCAAACTACGATAACCAATTCCATTTCGATAACAAGGTTGAGCTCTTAAATCTATTTACCATATTAGTGCCCGTTACAATCACACCTCTTTAGTCGTCTAGATTCACCTATTAGATCGTCTAGATAATTTTACTATTACTAGTAACGTCTAATTTTCGTAAATTACAGGATCAGCTGGACAAAACATCAAACAACTTTTGCTGGCAACTCCGTTCGTTCGTTTGCGTGGAATTAATAAAACAAAAGTACTTGTAAGTAAACTATAACTTCTAGACTCTACTGTGCCAAAATTCATCGAGATACGTTGAGCCGTTTAGGCTACAAACTCTAACATTCATCCATCCATCTAACCTTTTGCATTTATAATATTAGTTAGATTAAAGATATTAGATTTTTCTTTTTGTAATACTTTTAATATAAATTATTTGAATAAAACATGATTTTCCATATTTTTCTCTACTAACAAATTCTTTTACGTCGAGCGCTTACATAAACTGGATAACTTAGTTCGACTTTGCAATTTTTTCATTCGAAGTCTTGAGCACTATATTTCCAACAATAAAAAGTACTAAACTTTGTCTTTACTCTAGGGACTAAGTCTGTTGTTTTTGTTTTACTTACGCTATTTCTTTCTACAAACTTGTAACTTGTAAGGAATGTCGGATTGTTTTAATAAATTATTTCGTATATGTACCCAAATTTATATTTTAATTAACACATGTTATCGAGCTTTGTATTCCGGGGATATTTCGTCGTATATTTTTGGTTCTGCAGTATTTTTAAGTATCTCTTTACATTGATGTAAAATTATTTTAACATAAAACTATATGTGTCGCATATTTAAAACAAGCGAGAAGAAATGAACCTGTTCTTAATGAGGGCGCACTTGTGATCTGCACACATGGCATACATGTCATATGAAAGAACTATTCATTATTTTTTTATTTCAACCAAAACGAATACAAGTTGCGAATATAGATATACGAAAGTGTAGATATGTTGATTATGATTTAACCAGCTTTTGCCCGCGACTCCGTACGCGTGGGATTAAAAAAACAAAAGTGACTAGCCTATGTGATCATCCAGACTATCCTCTACATCCGTACCAAATTTCATCGAAATCGGTTCAGCCATTTAGGCTACAAACTCTAAAAAACATTCATCCATGCATCCATCCATCTAAACTTTCGCATTTATATTAGACAGAAGTAGGTTTATAAATAGGGCTATTTTTTATTGATTACAATTCTGTGTATCATGCTAAGCCGTTAGACCATACGGCAACAGATTCAGGTAGAAAACTTTTTAAATCCGATAAAAGAAAAAGTCAGATTGTATGCCGTATGCAAAGTATTTTACTTTACTTCTTTCGAGGACTTAGAAATGAAACACTTTTGGGAACAATTTTATTTGTATCTAAAACACAGATGATTCTCTTCAGAATGTTGCTTAATTATCACATTTAGAGTTCTTTAGTGGTCCCTAAAAGTGACCCTTAGTCTAGATGTAGATATCAATGTGAACTTACTCTTATTCTGGTTCTTGTAGTATTTTTTTACAAAAGGTGTTTTATTACATTTGTCAGTAAATCGGTATAAAAGTTCACAACAATTTTATTGTAAGCTTTTGCAGTGTGAAACGGCAGGTGCAGAAAAGCCGAGCGCTCCGTTCCACATAATGCGATGCTAGTAGCCAGTAGGTATGTTAAATGCCTTAATTTGACACTCACCTGCTCTGTTAGCGGCACATTGCTACGAATAACATTCTGGCAGTTCTATTTTGTACGCTTTGGAAATATCGATTGAATATGTTTAGTGCATTATCGTAGTAGCAGCTAAATTCTTTACAATTGCGATGAAATATTGTAGTACAGTCACCAAGAGGACTCATGACAGTTGCTATGATCTACAATTTCGCAATTCTTTAAGAGTTTAAAGATTTTTATGCTTTATGCAGCTTTAACCATTTGCGAAGATTAGCACCTCACGATTTTGCCACAAACTATTTCCGACCCGCACAAAAACTTTATAAGGCAAGTTAAAAGAGAACGATCAAAAAACTTGGCCGGCTAACCGAAAGCTGTTTGTAACAACCATCTCTACTTTATGGCTCTCTTTAGGATCATTACAACTTTACAGCTTCGCTAATTGCTGTTGTTATTGCATTTCCGTTTCCGGCGCGCTTTATTACGTTTTACGTAGCTTTTGAATTAAAAACTATGCATTTTTAAAAAAGTATACATAGAAAAAATTAAGATTTGCTAATTAAGAATGAATATTACTTAAACAATTTCATAGAAAATTTATTTTTTCGTTGTATTTAGTTTTTAAATAAAACAATGAATTATTGAAAATTCTTCTTCAACATCTCAAGAGGTCTGAATTACTTGTTCGTACATCATCTTGTACAACATCTTAAGCGTTCCATTTTATTTATAACCTTTATCCTGGGCCTACTACGAATAGGTGCGATGATTAAAGATGATATCAGGTCCGAGTGCGTTCAGGTCGGCGCAGTTCAAAGCATCCTATTCATAGTAATGAACGTCACCATTGTACTCCGCGCCTCGCCTCGCCTCCGCCGCATAAGAATTGGAGCTCAGTCAGTCATGCGTGCGCCATTGATGCTTAGTCCTTTCATCAAATGTTCCACCGTTATTAAGATAAAAATATAAATATATTTTATGACTTTATAGTCCAACATTCTTACGTCCCTACAAGGAATTTAAGATGCCTTAGATAGCATAGCACTTTTAATTTTTACCTCGTACCTGTAATAATGGTCGGGTTATATGATGCAATTTTAAGCGATTTGTTTTAGTCGGTTTATACATCTCGAACCTAACGCCTGCCTATTATTTCGTACATCACTTATTTTATCTTAGACTAGCTTTTGCCTGCGAATCCGTACGCGTGGAATTAAAAAAACTAAGTAGCCTATGTGTTCTTCTAGACTTAGGCTACAAACTCTAACAAACATCTATCCATCCATCTTAACTTTCGCATATATAATATTAGTAAGATAGTAAGATTTATGAGTAATTTTTGTAAAGTTAAATTGAAAAAAAGGAATATGTGTTGATTTATCATTGCGGTCTTGACTGTAGGGATTGTAAAGTTTACGCTGAAAACTGTTTGTGACAGTTGCAGTGGTTGCGAGGCCGTATGTCATGCTTAGTGCTCGGCTGGTGGCGAGCAGCGGGCGGCGAGCGCGGTGTGCTTCAACCATTAGCTTTGGCTCATTTGCACATTTGCTG